ACACTTCTTGGAGAAGCTGAGGTATCTACAAAGAGATATTTAAAAGGTAAACAGCAGCACACCCTGAAACCAGCTTTAACCGACCGTGAGACCCCGAGCTCAAAAGGAAGAACTTAATATGGAGACCCCACTTAACTTATAAGGTATGCAAATTTCAAAGCTCTGTAGGTAAGTCAAGAAATCCAACAAAGTTCAAAGATTCCATATAGTTCCATATATATAACAATTTCTCTGATCTAAGCACAAAAAAAGAGTAAATAGATAAAAAATTAATAAAAGTAGGTCAAGGGACAATCGCAATACCCATGGGTAATATGCCGCCCCCTGCTGGTGAAAGCTAAATTCTGCGAAAGCTCATTACTAAACTAAGCAAACAAACAAACAAAAAAAGACAAAAACTTGATTTCAGTGTGGTGCTTTAGCTCAGGATCAAACTACGCAGCAACACATTAATAAATCGTGTTTTGGGTGATATCATCTAAATCAGTGATAGCAATTTTCTTCACTCTGCTATGTGATGGCAACTGTCTCAGGTGCAGGGATGTGGTACAACCCAAACACGTTATTTTTGTGATGCAAATGCACTAACAGGAAGAAATTATTGTTTGGAAAAAGAGGACCAAGTCAGTGTTTTCAGTGGTGTCATAGAGGAAGATATTTGTTTGTGGAATAAGAGTGTTTCTACAGCTCAGCTGTTGAATTAACTTTAAGTAAGAAAAACATGTAAGAACAGAGCTGAAAAAGGCATGGATGTGATGCTGGTGAATGAAAGCCTGTGAGAGAAATATGCCAACATAAATAGAAGGAGTTAATAAGGTTGGAGGCAACGAATGATTGTTATGGATTCACTGTCTTACAAGTGGAGCCAGTGTGCGTGTGTGTGTGTGTGTATTAAATAAACACAGTTTTAAGTCTTAGGTCAACTGTTTCTTAACACTCTTGGAGCAGATTACAGCTTGAACTACAGGAAGTGGCACCAAATACGGCACGGTTTTTGTAACAAGTTCACAAACTTTGTTTATTGCACCGGAGCAGATAGACTGAGAAGCTGTGTGTTCCCTCAAGTTTCTGGGAACTTAGACACTGTGAAAATCTGCTGCACACTTTCCTTCTGCGATAGACACAGCAAGCTAAGGTGGAGAAGTTCAGCCATCATGAACTCTGAGCTCTGATTCTCCACCTCAACTCTAAGTTAAGGTAACTTATCTGTTGCTGCATAAAGATAAAGGAGTGGCCTTTACTTTGTTTGTTAGTGCAGGAATGTTGAACGATTCTTCCCAGCCACTTCTCAAAGGTTATCTGGGGAAATAACGAGGTGTCCCCAGGCCAGCCGAGAGACATAATCTCTCCAGCGTGTTGTGGGTCTACCTCGGGCCGTCCTCCCTGTAGGACATGCCTGAAACACCTCACCCAGGAGGCGCTCAGGAGCCTCAAATCACCTCAACTGGCTCCTTTCGATGTGGAGTAGCAGCTCTACTCTCAAGCTCCTCTGGAGCAACTGATCTTCTTTAAGGGAGAGGCTATAGCCACCCTTCAGAGAAGGATCATTTCCACCACTGGTATCCATAATTTAATTTTTTCAGTCACTACCCAAAGCCTGTTATCATAGGTGAGGGTATCATAGGAGGCTTTTCCATAGCTCTCTTTTTACCACGATGGACTGGTGCAGCATCTGCATCACAGCAAATGCAGCCCCAATACATCTGTCAGTCTGCCAGTCCTCTGTCCCCTCACTCGTCTGTGAGGTTAGAAAACCAAATGCCTGCAACTCTTCTCATTTGGTTTTATAAGTAAACAAGGCTCTTGTATGAGAGTTTACAAGAAACTTAAACAAGTCCAGTCGCATTTTTCCACTCTGCATTTTTCCAGGTCAGGACTAAATGTCTCTCTACTGACTTTCTTCCTGACAGCTTGCTGGTATCACAGATTTAATCGTTTCTTTTTCACTTTGTCACATGTTACACACCATATGCAAAAGATGGAAATAGCCACAGCTGTGTTTGTCCGGTTTTGAAGTTTGAGTGAGCAACTGAGAAACGGAGGACACTGCACACTCATGGTTGTTACTTGTTAATCAAAAAGTAGCCACACTGTACAACACAGCCTGCTTTACGTGTATTTTATGATTAATGAGACGTCGTTTGCAGAATTAACATTATGGCGTATTTAAAAACACTTGAACTTGGAAACTGAGATCATAAACTCATTGTTTACTGAGATCACAGGCAAAGTGAGCAGATGGATCTTTTCGCCGTAGACCTGTATACAGTCCGATGTTTTTTAAACCAAAGGAGTCTTCCCTCAGACGTTAGTAGACAGAATGCAGGTTTACTACATTTTTCAAAAGATATATCACCTTTTTATTCTCTGTAACTCTGGCAAAAATATAAAATGAAGGCAGAAAGCAGAAAAATTTATTTAAAAATGAACCTTTCTAATTTATGATCTGTTTACTATGGAAGAGGATTAGGGCCACTTCCGTAGTAAACTGAGACTGACTGAGTCAGAATTTAGACTTCTAGCTTTTACTTCACAATTCTGAATTCCATCTTAAAATTCTTAGGTTCCTAGAAGTTTGGACTTTATCTCAGAATTTTCACTTTCTTGTCGGAATTTTGCCTCTTACAATTCTTACTGTCCCCTCACTTTTTGCCTCAGAAGTCTGAGGGAAGTTTGAGGGAAAGTCCATAATTCTAAGTCTCATCAGAATGCTTAGTTTCATTTTGAAATTCTATCTTGTTTCCGACAAGAAGTAAAAATTTTGAGGTAAACTCCACTTTTTTTTTCTTCCCAGTGGCCATTCCCTAATTCTCTCGTATTGTACTATCAGATACTTTGGTAAAATTATTTCATGGCTTTACAAATCCATTTATCTTTGCCTTTTCATTATTTGCTACAGAGCAAACACAACTGAAGTCAGCGTGTTTAAATGCTCTGCAGCAGATAAAAGACAGTAGAAGTAAAAGGCATCTTGTGCATCCTCCTCTGTAAGTTCTCTCGTTTAAATTCTTCCTATCTACTTCTTTTTGCAGGAAGTCGCTGCCAACTGTAAGCCAGCAAAATTTATTAATAATTCAGGCAACGTCTGCAGCAGCAGCAGGAGATTCTTATTGTTTGCCCTTGCATGCACAGAGTTACTATCTTAACTTGGCATGGCAGCTGACACTTTGCCAGAGTGGATGTGCTGAGAGGTGTATTAGAAGTGATAATGAAGAACACACTTCCACTTGAGAATGAAGCAATTAAAGAGGGGTGTAAACAGCAGAGGGAGGAATGAGTGTGACTTCATTCCTGAGGGAGTCCTCCAACATCTCTCACACCTGAGAGGTCTGCAGAGAGCGCCGGCTCTGATGAGGATTCCCGATGACAGTTAGCGACAGGAGGATGTAACACGGTCTCGCAGTGAAGCGGGAGGACAGCGAGGAGACTGAGATGCACTGAACAACATTTAACACGTGCTCCACCTGCGTGCTCCGGCATCACTGTTAGCAGTCATGTGACCTCGCAGAAGCCTGTAGATTCAGACAGAAGACATTGTTTGGCTGCACACTCAGGCCAAGTTGTGCTCCATTTAACAAAAAAAAAATATACTGCATGGGTAAAACTAGTAAAAGGTCCCTTTAAAAGTTTTATCTTTATGAGCAAGTCTCTCAAACGAGACATTGGCTCTCAGTAGAACTACCTGCATAAATAAAGGTTAACATAAGTTTATTAATTCCTTTTAATCCCAGAGACGGGCTGCTAGGACATAAAAGTGTATGGAGTTAAATAATTACTTATAATAATTTACTCAATAATGATTGTTTCCAAATGATAACTGGATGTTTGAAGTGTAGTTTAACACAACAGAAAAATCGCAAAAAAAAGAAAAAAAAATCTAAAAATGGAACTCTATTGTTGTAGAAGTCTGTTGTTTAAATCACTTCTATCAAAATTGTAACAAGGAAATGTTTGCCTCATGAAATTTACATTTGTGGGCTACAGCTTCATAGGAGCCCATCGATTCTGGACCTGAAGTCCAGTTCTTGAGGAGACTTTCAGCATTTACAGGTTCTTTGCACGGTTCCAGGGTGGCCGGACAGAAATGGTATAAAGACAAAGACAAGGTACTCAAAGAAACTGAACTCTATGAATTCTGCAGCTGTAAAGATGGCCTGGGTCAAGTTGAACTCCTTGCAGTACCTCTCAAAATGTACTTCATTAAGCACAGATTGCGGTCTGGTTTATTAAAGGGTTAAAATAAGAGTGATCTCAGTCTGTTTGGTTTGAGTTTTGCTGGGACTTTTGCTGCATCTCCCCTCATATGATGTCCCATCTTTCTTCTGAGTAAAGTAAATATGAAAAACGACAGAATGTGCATTTGAATATTTAAAAAATGTTCTTCTTATTAATTTAGGTTGTTGCTCTGAATATATTCTTACGTTTAAAAATATTTCTCTTTGTTTCAGTAAAGTGATTTTTCCCCACTGTTTTAAAATTTCAAAGATAACCATGTTGTGAATATTTTCTTTATCATAACAATGAAATCTGAGGTGATTACATATCTGAATGTCATGTAATACTATCCATCAGCAATCACCATCAACATAAATGAAACTGATTAGTGAGACAAATAATTCTCCAATACGTGTTTATTGCGGTTTAGGATTGAATCATTAGGAGAGACTGGCGTCCCTGAGTAATTATGGGTGGCACGGTGCATCTCCGGGATCAGTTGAACCAGGTAAAATCCATTAAGGGTGCTAGACTATTCCTAAAACCCAAACCGAAAACAAAGCCGTTTATATTTACGGTAAGAACTATTATTACTCATGAAATGAAGCTTTCACGTGAATAGAGTCCCATATGGGATTTTGAGAGAGCTCATTAATGCAGAAAAACAAAGGTTATTTAAATTATTTTAATAAAGAATCTTCTAAGGATATTAGCGATAATAGTAAATATTAAACAGAGCTTAAGCTTGCGTTATTTATTTATTTTAACTCAGGCAGACGTTGGCCACGTTGGAAGGGTCCATTAGTGATGACGTCGGTGTGTCTCGGAAGATGTTGTAGCTAAAACTTCAGAAATATTACGCGTTGTGTTTGTTTTTTTAAAGTTAATATCAACACGTGTTTACAAATGCGTAGTACATATTATAAGCCCCAGAATGGCACAAACTGCAAATATGCCAAATTAAAAGGTGAGTTTTTTTGTTAATATATCTTTCCCCCTTTTTTAAAGCTCATTGTTGTTAGCTTAGCCCTTTAAGAGCCAAGCTATAATTAGCCTCTAGTTACCAGGCCGCTTTGAAAATGTCGCTATTTTAACGTCGTCTTGGTTAACTACGGCATACTTTACATCAAAAGCATGATTTTACCTTTGCTTTTGTTCAGATGGTTTTTCAGGTACAATCGGCTCGTAAAGAATGTATCAAGGAAGTACGCTGTGTTTAAAAAAATCTAATTTTGTATTTGGTAATACCGTGCTCGCCACAGACTTCTACAGTGTTACATTAGCTGTAAAATTAACGCTACAACACAGTTTATTGGCAGAATTTGACTGTAAATGGAATCTTGTATAAATATACAAACTTTATTGATAATTTGGAACATGGTCGCGAGCTTGGATCTAAGCTTGGACCGTGATTTGTATAAATGTTTGTTAGCACTTAAGCACCTAAAATCGCCACATTAGTGAACGGAGTTTGGTAGAACGTAACGGATAATCTGGAAAGTTAGCTTCGGTAACATGAGATTACATGGAAGACAAGCCGGTGGGTGCAAGTAATGATAGCTTCTGATAATAGCTCCACACAGATGTAGGAGAATCAGCTTTCACTTGATGTTTTGCTGTCTTCTTTACTCGTTCAGCTCCTCCACAGACCACTTTGATTTCTTCTCCACTCGAATTACAAACTCAGATGCCCGGACAACAAAACAAATATCGCTTAATGCTATGTTTTATTAAAAGAGTTCTGCCTCTATTGAATCTGATCTTGATCTGACTTGCTGGTTTCAGGTTCGGGTCAGGTTAAACCAGACCCTGCTGGCTCAGACATGCCTCAGAAACCACAGAAGAGCTCTCAGACTGCACACTACATCGAGCTGGGAAGTTATCAGTACTGGCCTGTACTGGTGCCCAGAGGTATCAGGCTGTACACATACGAGCAGATCCCCCCGTTTCTGAGGGAGAACCCCTACATCACAGATGGATACAGGGCATACTTGCCCTCCAGGCTGTGCATCAAAAGGTGAGAAGGACCCTTTAACCTGAAATCAGAATTTTCATCTTCAACACCACAACACAGTCACTCCACTAAAGTCAAGCAGTGCCTACTTTTTGAACACCTCAGAAAATTACTTGCGCACTAGGAATCACAGTTAGAAGAAGAGCCAAGTAAAAGAGGAGACTTAACCTATCCCACATGTTGATATGAGTCTTGAAAGTGTTCCACAATTCAGCTTTTGAAGCTTTCTTCAGTGAAAGCAGGTTAAACATGCAGACTGCCAGTGTTTTTCTCTTTTTTATGTCAGCTGTTGAAACTATGATGCATTCCATTATATTAATATTTAAAGCCGACTATAAGGAAGATAAAAAGATTCTGAACAGGTCACATTACAGATTTGATTGTTGTGGAGCTGCTGTATGATGATGTCGTTGTGTCTTGGTGTAACGTGCTGTAATGGTACTCTGTGATTCCCACGCCTCGCTGCAGAGGCTGATTGATTTTGCTTCCTGACATTTGTTGTAGGGTCAATGCCAATAAAGATTTTAAGGGAGTTGGGCAACTCGTGTTGCTCTCTAGTTCTAGTTTCAGTGGTTAATGGAAACGGCGAATCCAGACTGTTTATTGATTGGGAGGTAATAGATGCTTGTCAGACATTTATGTCAGGGTGTATAATTGTTCAGAGTTTTGGTTCATACCTCTGGTTTTCTTTAGAGGGAACTGACTGTGTGACTATTTTAAAGCTTGTAAATGACCTTTGCAGCCTCTTCATCCTGTCCAATGAGACGGTGAACATCTGGAGCCATCTCCTGGGCTTCCTCCTCTTCTTCTGTCTTGGGGTGTACAACATGGCCTCGGTGCTGCCGGCTGTTGGCGCCTCCAGAGAGGATTATGTCATCTACTCCATTGGACTCTTCTGCTTTCAGGTACAGTGCTGCTATTGTCTTCTGCTTAGACATCATCTCACATTGCTTTTATATAGAATAAACCACCAGAGATATTTCAGTTCTCCTGAGCTGTGGTTAGATTGAAGTTGGCAATTACACTGCTCATGCACTGTTAATAAATCTCAGTATATTTGAGTATTGAAGAAGGCAAATATAGGCCTCTCTAGATTTGGCTATTCCAGGTGTTAATGAACCTGTTGGATCACTTTGTACACTCATCATCACCTATAAATGTAGCCCTTAAAATATCCAGACATGCCTGTACAAGTGGGTGAGCCCAGAGTTGAGCTTTTTGCATTGTTTCAGTGGATTCAGAAAATAAAGAGCAGGGTTAGTGCAGTTACTGACGGGCGGGATAGCGATTGTAGTTTGACACAATGTGAACTTTTTACCTTTTCAATGTGGTTACATGTCATAACACCAAGTATTATGTTCAACATCATAATCACTAGTGTGATTAAAACGCCACGTTTATTGCTTTCTCTCAAACCTGGTGTGGAAAAGTTCTTTTATTTCTTTTAAACAGTTAGATTTCAGATTCAAGTATTAATTTATTTTATATAATAAATATGTCTGGGGCTTGATATTATTGGTATTCATTAATTATATTGCCAGTTTGTGTTTTTGTTGCCTCTCAAAACGTATTTAACTGTCTTGTTTTGACCTCAATGTCCTGCTTTCTGTTAGAAGCTCGTGTTCTGCTTTTTCTTCTTGGTCTGTGGACGTAAACGTGTTTTTTATATTTTCATTATTAAATAAATTTGAATCCAGCGTAAATCCATTCTGAGCCGAGCTTCTTTGCAATGCCCGACTGTGTGTTTTGCCGTCCTCAGCTGTGTATGCTGTGCTCGATGGGTTACCACCTGTTCTGCTGCCATCGCTCAGAGAAGACCAGCCGCCGCTGGATGGCGCTGGATTACGCCGGTGTTTCCATCGGCATCCTGGGCTGCTACGTCCCCGGAGTCTTCTACACCTTCTACTGTAATAACGTAAGCTCACCTGCAGCCTTTCATATAAACTGCTCTCTCTTAGACGGAGTTTAAAAGTGACGTTTTCACTGCGCCGAGTGTTGTCGAGAAGCCTTGTTGCTATGTTTTGTACCAACTGCAGACTCCAAACTATAGACAGGTTCATTGTTTGGAAGTATTTGTAATCTGCACATAACAAGACTGTACTAGCCTTTTCACATACTGGTTGAAGTTTCCATGTTGATAGAAAGTAACGTCCAGGTTTCTGGCACATTGCTTTACGTAGGCTGTTAGTCATCCACGCTGAACAGTGATACTGAAATATGATCAGAGACTGTGGATTATTCTGAGGGCAGTTATTTGGAGTTCCAGTGTTCTGGGCCTGTATGTAGATTTTTGTTTTTTCTGGACTGGACGAGACATAAAACTGGCAGTAAGCGACGTAACAATGCGAGAGTCACGTGTTTAAACTTGCAGATGACACAGACTGGTTCTTAGATAGCATTTTTATACTCAAAGTACTCAAAGCACTTTATACAAAGTTTGCCCCTTTCACCCACACAAGCACTTGTTACTAGCCCTTTTCTACTAAAGTGAACATTCAGAGGGCAGTAGAGGTAAACTAGAGGAAATGGGTACAACAACGGGGGTTTTTTTTCCTTTCTAATGATGAAGATCTTTGCCATGGCCACGTAACATCCAAGGCCAGAAACCTTCCTGTTTGAATACTTTTACTACCAAGAATTTCTTTGTTATGCAGACAAACTGTTGAACTTGCAGAGATGAAGCTCTATCAGGAAAATGCGAAGTTTAACGTCCTCATGCTGGTAGAAATGTCGTGGGCTACACGCGGTCTTTCAAAATAGGAAGAGTAAGATGTCCTGAGTTTGCACTCAGTGTCTAGTGTTATTCATTAGCTCATGCAAAGCTATTCCTCTGCTGTGGTTTTATCTAAAACCAGGCTGTTGTTGCCTTTCTAACCCTGTTGCATTGGAGCAGTAAAAAGCTCGTGCACGTTGCCCATCTCCTCATCCCTCGAGGTTTTGCTGTTGTGATGAATTTAAGCTCACTCTTTCCAGAAACAGGTCTCCGTGTGACCCAGACTTACTCGGCTCAGCACTATCTTTTACTCTGACTTTTCTGATGCGACTTTACAAAAGATGCTGCATCACAGTTTACTGCTGCCAGCACATTTTTCCAAACAAAAAGCAAAAAAGATCAAAGACATAAAAACTAATCGGCTTTAAATTCATAAGCAAGGTCAGAGGTACATTATTCACTCTGAATCCTTATCTCTTAACGCTGAGCACCACGTCGCCCTCTGGAGCTGAATCCGTTTAAATCCTTTAAAAAGTGCTAAATGTGAGAAGCTGCCCTGCAGTCCTCTGTGACTCAGCAATGCTGTGCTTCACTTGTATTGTAAACGGCTTATTATTTACCCTCGTGAGTCGAGTTCAAAGTGGCGGAGGACAGGCAGAGCAGGCAGACTGCTTCTCTGTCTTAAATCCTGTGTCCTTGTACTCATCACTTCAGCCTTTTATGTGCTGCTCTCATGAGCCTTCTTCAGTCTCAAGAAAGAGTCAGGCTGCTGGAAGCCCAACCTTCATTTTGTCCAGTCTTTTTATAGTTTTGCCTTCAGAAATGATAATTACATGCATTTTTTTTAGTATTTTATTTTACCAGACAGAAGTGATGTTGGTTCAGCATAAAACAGATGTGTAAGTGTTTTTGTAGGGTTAAAAAAAAGAAGTTTCCGCTCACATACCTGGATGATCGGACTGAATTCAGAAGTTTACAAACCACATCTGTATTCATGTCTGCAGAAAACGGGCTTTATATTATCTGGAACAATGTCGGTGACAGCTCCGAGTCCATCTCCTTATCAGAAACTTTCTCACAGTCAAACATTCTTCCTCCGTCTGGGTCACATCCTGTGCTCTTTTACCGTTTCTCTCAGAAGAGATACCCAGTCCCTAAATGCCTCTTTAATGCGTTTAGCACCATGTTGGAGTTAATTAAATGCACCCAACTGCACGATCCACTTGAGATGAAGTCTGTCTGATCCAGTTGAAGCTGTAGCTCCGGTAGCTTTTGCAGTAGTTTCTCCTGACATTTCGTGCAGTTACAGTAATGTTTGGGTAACACAAAACCCTGACGCAAACTTGGCTGTCGATCGGGTCATACCATTGGGGAGCCACTGGTCTAATTAGTCCCTCTGCCTATTTTCTTATCATATTCAGAGTTATGAGGAGGAACTGAGAGGTCACCAGGCCATCACGGGTCATGACATGTAAGGTGTTGGGGAAAGCTGGAAACGACGAGTCTCGTGGAAATCACCACGAGACTCGTTGCAATCGCCACTCTCACCAAACCTCTGCATGAGTGCTGGTTTAGGAGGAGAACCAGTCACACCACATTACAAAAATAAAGAAGTGTGGCTCAGTTGGAGAGGCACTCCTGCAGCTCTGATGTCACTCTTGGTGTGTGCTGCCATTCACAGGGGTGGGAATGGGCCCTGAGAGTGAAGCTGTGAAAGCCTTGTTAGGTTGCACTTTGTTACTCACTGGAGAAAATAATTGGTTACATTACTCTGCCATGTTTCAGATGTGCATATTCACACAATAACCAATTATGAACGACTACCTATCCTCACAAGGACACACAAGATCTTTCATTAGTGCCTAAATATGAACGCAAAGATGGGCAACCAGGTCAAAGAAGACTTAAATGATTTTACAGAAACTACACTGATTGCTCGTACCTGCTCCTGTTACCTGAGGCAGATCAGGCTCTGGATGCTTTGCTGGGGTCAGCATTTAGCATTAATCTGGGTACTTCACTAGCTTTATGTGCGAGTGCTGCCTGTGCAGATGCTTGGCCTGTGTTGCGTTACCTGTAGTAGTTTGGACTCATTTTCCTGCCCTTTACATCAATAAAAATCAAAGTAATTATAAGTGAAATGAGTGCAGACCACCTCCTCCTTGAGTCAGCTGATTGTAGTGCGAGTGCACACAAGAGGAAAAACATTTTTGGCATTGTTTTCTACTGTCTTACGCCCCCTCACTGGTAATATAAAATTAATTGATGATAATCCTAATAGCTGGCAGTACAACACCGCTGAAAGGGAGGACACTGTTGACGCGAACTGAATTATGGTGAAGCTTAAATTCAAGATGTTTTAAAGTTGACCTGAAATAACCACAGTGGTGTTTTCACGTATGTGATCGAGTAGCTCTACCTCAGAAGCCCACCTCAGACTGCTCGCTGCAGTCGTGTGTGTGCACTGAGCATCGGTTTAACATCGAAGCACAGTCCTCCCCGGAGACTTCTCAGCTCAACATCCTCAGCCTGAGAAGCAGTAATTGAATAAAGCTGAAGTGGGCCCTGCAGTCTGGCTGTGCTGATTGACTCATTGTTCCCGGTGAATAAGCAACACGACACCTTCGCCGCGCTCGCCGTTTGGAAAACAGCCTCTGATGACACAAGCCAGTTCCTTATTCCAGCCGCCCACCACCACCATGTCCCTTTTTTTTCTGTCCTATTTTATTTTATTTATTTTTTTGAACTCCTGAAGTGTTGGCCGTGCTCCTCACTGTTCGCTTTCCCCCGCATATTGGAAGCGCCGGGTTATTTTGCCCCCAGAACGTAGCTGAAATCTGCTCCAGCCCAAACCAGATGGCCGCGTTCACGGAGCGGTCCGTCACTCCTGTTCCCCACCATATGACGTTCGCAAGTCCGGGAGCCGTCTAAGCGAAGGTCCCCCTCCTCCTCCTCCACCTCCCTCCCCCTCGTCCTTGCCAAGACTGGGGCTCTGCTTCTGGGTGGCTCCTCTCCCGTGGCACGCCAAGTCCCCAAAGAAAAACAGATTTTTTATATTTAGCCAGTCAAACTCTTGTCTCGTCAAGAGTGTTTTAGAGATGCAGATTTGGAGGAGAGAACACGGAGTCTGCGAGGAGAGGAGCTTAAAAAATTTGGCTGAAGCAGAGCGGGGCCTTGTTCCTGGTGCAAATTTATTCACTGTGAAATTCAGCAGGACTCGTCACATGAGGACGTGTGACTGGACGAAGGCCTACATCCACACAAACGGACAGAAGGGACCGAGACGAGGCTGCCCAGACTTTAAACACTTACTTATAGAAGTTTAAATACCAACTGCAGACAGATAAGCATTATAGTTGTGATAACAGCAGATGAAACAGTGGGAGACTTTTAACTGATTTTTTTTAAAATTGTACTGCAGTACAGTAATATATAAACCCTGAGTTATTGTCCTATAGTTGTTCAGACATCAGAAAAAAGAAGCTGTGTGCACCACGTTTGAGGAAACTTTATTTCTGACTTTGCAGAAACACGATGAGGTGGTTTCATTTTGATCATGATGTGTTGTCAGTTTGACCAAATTGACAGTTTCAGTTTTGCATGTACACTAAATTATTTCAGGGGTTCCCCCCATTGGGAACTAAATCTCTGAGGAGATTGTTTGAGTGCCCCCTCCAGCTTTGGTTCAGGAGTGAGGGAACAAGTGAATAGGAGATTACCGGATGTGTTTTTGCAGCAGTGTGGATGCTGTAGCGGTGTGTTGTGGTTAGAGATGGCATGATACCACTTTTTTATGTCCGATACCGATATCATAAATTTGGATATCTGCCGATACCGATATGAATCCGATATAGTGTTTTTTAATCAACAAAACTGTTTTTTAAATATCTTGCTGCATTTTGTATAAGTTCATACTCAAGTTTAAAACAACAACTACACTAAAGCTATTCTGTTATACCTGTATGCAAAAAAAAATATTTCATAGTTCAGCAATACTGATCAATCTAATAAACTTAAACCTACACCATCCTCCCTATTCTGGTATTTTAAAGAGTACTTAGCATAAATATTAAGCAACCTAACTAATAGGGTTCCAACTCCCAGCAACAACAAAAATAAATAAATAAAAAATAGGGAACCACCCCTCACGCTCCACCTCATGATGCTTAATCGACGTAATCAACCTTAATTTGATGCAGTGTGAAAAAAAAATGCACAGAAATCAATTATTTTTCAAGAAATATTAAATAGATTCAACATCTTTCTTCAACAAAATTGCAGACTGCACAGATGGTACCTTCCCAAAGGAAAAAGTACTATAGCTTACTAGGTATATTAGACTTAACAGTTACTATATACAGTAATGACTTCTATACATTTTACATCAGATTAAAACTTTGGGTGTAAGATTCAGATAAATTATTAATAATTAAAAGCTCGACATTTTAAATGAGAATAAGAAAGAAAAGTATGTCTTTGTGCCCCCTTTTCCCTGTTAATGCCCTATCGGCCCCCCTGGCTAAACTTTGCTAGATCCGCCCCTGCACAGTTACCAGCGTCAGCTACGTAGAAAAAGATCCTCGAGTAGAAAGTAATATTAAATACATTCTAACAACAGCTGATCAAGCTTAAACGTGCTGCTGTTGTTCAGCCGCTGGTTTCCTCTTTCTGGTGCAAAGTGGGCCAAAAACAAACAAGAGAACGGACTCGCGACAGAAAAGCCGATCAGCTGATCTTAAGCAGTTTCATGATTGAAGTAGCAGCCGGAGAGCGAGAGGCAGTCGCTCGTTAAGCTTAACGCAGGAATGCTTTACAAACATTCAGAGATGGACTTACACACTTGCTTTACTTCTCTCGGGGATAACTTTGTCGGAGATGAAATGCCGGGTTGCTAGCGAAGCTCCACATGCTATCCAGACCACCGACAGGTCCCGCATGCCACAGCCGCTCTATCACGTGATGCATACTGCTCCGACGTGCTAACGTTCTGAGGTGAGTTACGGCGTGTTGCAAGTTTTGTGAGGTGCTTTCGTGATATTTAATGGATCGGATTACATTTTTTATTTTTCTCCGATATCCGATCCAGTAATTTAGGTCAGTATCGGACCGATACCGATACTTAATATCGGATCGGTCCATCTCTAGTTGTGGTGAGTTTCCCACTCAGTCTACGTTCCTACTCTCACCTATAGCCATGAGCTGTGGGGAGTACCTGTAAACAGCAGCAGAAATGAGCTTCCTACAACCCAGACCCAACCCATAAACAGCAGAGGAAGGAAGGAAGTATGAATGGACTGCCTTTTTTTTCTCATAAAGTTTGAGTCTCAACCTTATTTGTACTAAATTAAAATAACAACTATTACCACTATTATTACTACTTTGAACCTCAGAATCTCCAAAAGCGATGTGATAACTGCCAATTCAGCTGTATCAGCTACCAGTGATCTGCTTGGTAACATCAAGGATTTCACCCTCTCACAGCCTGTAACCTGTTCTTCTTTGTGGCCTTCAAATCTGGAAGAAGAAAAGCATAGCAGATCAGCGTTAAATAAAGCTGATTGAATGATGTGAAAGCTGCACGTGTAAGAGGGTCTGCTGAGGGAAGCATCAGCTGAGTTTGCAGTGAGCCTCAGCTCGTTTGTGGTTCGGTCATAGTAAATAAAGCTCTAATATAACACACAGTGTTCGTCCTGCTCATCACCAAACAGCAGGAAGCTTTCAGCAGCTGAAGGACTTTCCTCAGGACTCCATGAGACAGATAATCTTCAAACGAATGAAACTGTTTGCAAACAGGTCCCTCACATCAGCCCAGGGGCTGTTTCGCTTGCTTCAGCTCCCTGCGAGTTTAAAAATCGCCTGCCTGGTTTTCTTTTCTGCTTCTGAAACCGACTGAGTTTCTTTTAAGTCTTGGGACCATCGGATACCTCCAGCATGCGAAGGACATCTTGGGGGGGGGGAAAGCTCAATCGGTCATGAAGGGAGTTTACTGTGTAGCTGGTGTGACTGAACTCTCGTCTTCCTGTCTGTGCAGTACTGGCGGCAGGTGTACCTGGTGACGGTCCTCGCCATGATCCTGGCTGTGTTCTTCGCTCAGATCCACCCTCATTATCTCAGCAAGCAGTGGAAGCAGCTGCGCTCGATCATCTTCTGCTCGGTGACCGGGTACGGCCTCATCCCCACCGTCCACTGGATCTGCCTCACGGGAGGTTTCTCCTCTGAACTCGTCCAGGTGAGCGTGCTCAGTGTGGTCCCCGTAACCAGTGTTCACTACTGTGATTCCTTTCTTTAAACAGACTTAAAACTAGCGATTTTGGCAATTTAATGAGGTCCGAAAGCAATGAGAAATAATTTTCCTGTAGACTTTACGACTGTCTGATTTCTTTTGCCAACCACAGTCGCCCCCTGCTGGTCATAAGAAGAAGAAAAAAATCCATGTTTAATGCACAGTGATCGGCTTTACTTTGCACAAAAAAATGTACTTCAGTCTGAAAAATCTCTTTAGATCGACTGATGATTATTAGAAAATGAACATTTTAACTCAGGAGTCTGTGGGTCCGACTTTCAGGGCAAGCCTCAAGTGGCCATTAGAGGAACTGCAGTTTTAACGGCTGTTGAGGGTCCTCCTTGATTGATCCACTTTAAATGTGTTTTCCTGCTGCTGCAGTAACACAATCTGTTGGCTGGCTTTAAATGCTTTTCAGTACTGTTAGGTCAGTCAGTAGTTCTTCCTGCACGTACCGTTTGGTAACTGTGGGCCATTTTTGTCCACACGCTGGTCGAATCAATGTTTCTTCTTCCTTTCAGGCGTTTGTTCCTCGGGTCCTGGTGATGTACTTCATTGCAGCACTGGCTCTCATTTTCTATGTTTCCAAAGTTCCTGAGCGGTACTTCCCAGGTGAGATGACTGTTTTTATTTCTTCATTTCCTGTTTGATTCGTTGTTTTTTCGTCCACTCATAGTTGGAAAATAACAGTAATCTAATACTGCAGAGAGAAACATTGAAAATGGGCCCGAATCTCATTAAAATCTGAAGCAAGCTGAGTGTTCCTGTCTCTGCAGGTCAGCTGAACTACCTGGGCTCCAGCCATCAGGTTTGGCACTTGCTGCTAGTGCTCATGTTTTACTGGTGGCACCAATCAACAGGCTTCATCATGGCGTACAGGCACAGTCAGCCGTGCCCCAACACCCCCCAACACGCCTAGATCGCTGCTCAGCACGCCAGGACTGCAGCTCCGATGAACCGTAAGCGGCCGTGTGACTTTTTTACAAGGAGACCTGTTCTGCTCAGTTTCAGCTCCATCGTTTTTATTTCTGGACTCCACTAGAGGAGCTTTGCATGACTCACAGTTCAAAGTAATTCTGGGCTTTGGTGTAGCCCCTCAGCTGTTTTTCCTCCTCTGCCTTTAAACTGACTTTATTCTGATTGGCTTCCCCTCATAACCACAAGGGTTCGACTGCAAGTGGTAGTCTAGTGGAGCGTCTGTGGTCACAGCCTGAGCTTTATGACTAAAATGACCTTAACGGTGACGTCCGTGTAAGCTTCAGTTTCTGATCCGCTCAACGATGCTTTGATTACAGAGGAGCTGTTTAACAGACTGCTGAGAAAACTTTGCCGACTGCAGAGAGTCGGGAGTTCACTCAGATGCAGACTGTGGCTCAATTTAAATAAATCAGAAAAAAGAAAATCTTTAATATTTAAGCTGATGTTTGGGGGTTAAAAGGCTTAAAGGAATCAAAGAATCAGCAGGTGGAAGACGAGGAGCAGCTGCTCTGTCAGGACATGAGGTTATTCCAGCTACAGAAAATAAGAATCTAAGCACGAACACTACTGTATATGAAGTGTCTTCTGTCTGTTTTGTCAAAACCTCACATCGAAGCCGCCGCCTGTTAGAATATGTCTAAAACCAATAAAATGAAGCTGAACCTTTTCAGGTAACACAGGTGATTTTTGATGCTTTTAATTGGCTCTGTTCACAGCTGACGTGTTGTTTCCTCCTCAGGTCGTCTGCAGAGACTCTGTTCTGGTCTCGGTCCATCAGTTTCCTCACAGATGGACTCTCTAACCTGTGAGTCTCTGTGATGAGGGAGGAAGAATAAATCCAGCGTGTGACGTGACGTTTAAGGAATTCAAGCTAATAAGAAACAATACGGACCTCTGCCTTGGACTGACAGCTCACCTGAAATCACTCAGACTGTCACCTTTATAAACTCCTTGAGGACTTAATGTTTGTTGGTAATGTTAGTTTTTCTGCCTGGAAATGAACCCGTGTCCAGCTGTTTTTAAAGCTTGAAAGCTGCTTCATCTGAGAGCAGATTCAGGCTCGTCCCTGAAAAAGGAAATGAACTAATGTCAGTATTATTATACTACGAGTAAACAGACTCCAGATTTCTGACATCTTCTTTAAAAACAGACTCTGAAGTCTTTGTTAGTGGAAATGATCAAAGCGTGGGGATGATGTTCAGACAGAACAAACCAAAGAGTTTTGTGAAATAAAGTGCGGACTCAGTTTCATATAAATGTACCCGCTCTATTTCATACCTGAAGCTCCGTTGTTGTTTTTTTAAGCTGCTCACTTCCTGTTCAAACTGATGTTCATTTATATGTAAAGAATTTCACAGGATGCTTGAAGGGGAACTTTAAATATTTCAGTTATTTTATGTTGTTCGCCTTTATCAGTGGTAACTCTGTGGGGTGAGGGTGGCTGTGGGGATGCTCGTAAAGTTTTATAACTGCGTCCCAGCCGAGAGCTACAGGAATAAGTCCTAAAACCCAGGAAGTGTTTCAGTCTTCCACCTTCGTCCAGTTCAGTTCTGTGTTTACTTCCACATAATAAAAGATGGGCGTAGCTTCCTGGCCCGCTGTCCTGACCTCAGTCTGGTCATAATGAATAAAATGTGACGTCAGGTTTGGGTCGTCGTAAAAAGACGTCAGCGATGGCCACTTGAGCTATAAGGAAACCTTCACCATCCCTGCAGCGCTATGAACGTCGATTTGTTACTACAAACTGTTTTTTGAGCATTTGAACAATCAAACTTAAGTTCTAAAACCCTAAAACATCAGATTTTGTAATTAAGCTGGGACAGTTTTTAGATTCACGTGATTTAAACATTTCACATGAACTGCATTAATATTTCTGTGTAGCGTGCGGCTCTGAGATCGACTGTAAACTCTGATCACGTTACAACAGAACTTTTATTATGACAAGCAAAATTCATTTTTGAAAATGAATTTTTTCCTCTTCAGCTTTTTAAGGACATGTTTTTCCAGCTCGTTTAGGGTGATGTGCAATGTTTTCATGGCTCTCCAGTGCAGCGCCTCTCTGCTGTCTCACGCTGGAAGGGAAAGCCAGATGTTTTCTGTGTGACCGTTTAATGTTTCTAATGTTGAAAAGGGGGAAATGTTCTCCGGTTTGTGGTTCTGTATTTAAATTATTAATAAGGAGTTTCTTTTTGTCTTAACAGACTCATTTTGTAGGAGTGGAAAGTTTTATATGTTGACTTTTCATACCTGAGGTCTAAATAAAAGTAACCATGTGCTGTTTCCAGATGTTTGAGATGAAACTTTATTTATTGCGTCCAACAGCAGTATAGCATGATAAATACAACACAAGACTTACCCTGGTGAAAAAAACAAAAACAAAGATGGGAGCGGTCGTATGAAATGGTTCAACTGGTGTAAAAAAAGAAAAACAGCAGGCTGCTGGTTTCATTCAAACAAATGTGCCAACGGTGGTGGAGCTAAATGCAGTGCTTAAGGCGGTCGATGAAGAAGCACAAAGTTGTTTAAGGAAGATTTCATCAAGAATCAAAAACCTGAATAACATGTTTTGCCCTTTATGAATGCACCTCATTCTGCAAAGGCAAAAAACCAAACTGAACAAATCCCATCAAGACATGAAACCGTGACGCAAGTAATCAGAGCTCGATAAACCAATAAAACCTGTCCCACATACAGAGTCCTGCTGCCACGAGTACTACGCTCACTGCAGAACCAAACATCGAATCATCCAACGCATCGTTTTTCCCTCACAGTCTGAATCTGCTCCCCGGCCTGTATTACTGTAGGGTCCTTAATAAAAACGCCATGAGGAATTTTGCTTTTAAAAGAGCAGTTTGATATTTTAAGGAGGCGAAAAAGTTCCTTGCTACTCTTCTTTCTGTATTTATAGTTAAATCTACTCCATAAGCTCATTTACAGGAATTATCCACATATGATGGTGAAGCAGGCAAAATAACTTGTTGGTCAGCACCATAAATCAGTCAGCACAAAAACATGGACTGTATGAAAACTATTTTAACCAGTTAAGATTTTTGTGGGATTTTATTTCTTTAAACATAAAGGACAGTTTTAATTATCAAACGGCTACAAAATAACCAAAAGTTCCACTCCTAGCCTGAAAAACAAACTAATCGTGTGCCATTTTCTAATTTTTTTATGCCTCCTGGCTACAAAGATGAGCTTTAAAGCAGCGCCTTTAAATATGAATTATTTAAAGCTTGGAAAGAAAAACCGTACTGTTCAAACACCAAACTACTGCTCTCAAACTGGTAAAAACTGGTTTGAGTGGGGCTGCGCTCACAGACGGGGTTAAATGAAAACCCAAGAGAAACAAGTCGGGTTTATCTGAAGTCGCACTGTTATTTCACCCTTTCTTCTTAATTCATACCCCCAATTTTCTCAAGAGGTTTTTACATTTTAATTCTGGTACATTGACTCACGGCACCATCTTGTGGTGCTGATTGGTATTACATGAAAGTACAGCCCGGCTCTAATTCAACTTCAGTTGATATCGCTTCTGCACAACAAAGTCCTTTTTGTCGTAGCAGTTATTTCTTCACATTCTGGTGACATTTTTAGTCAATTTTAAAGCTTTTACGCTACTTTTAAATATACAAATGTACAACAAGCACCTTCACAGAGCAGCTAATGTGAGCCAGTCTCACATGCACCTGTAACAGCTAAAAACTTTGGGGTTGGAGCGAAAATTACTTGAAACACTTGACTGGCTTTAGTTCTTTCATGGGACTTGTTCACACTAAACCTGCAAACCTATCAGTTTACCAACGGTGAAATTCCCGACGACGTAAAATGCCGAGGTCAGTGACAATGCCGGGAAAACAGCGGTACAGCTTCTGCAGGGCTCATAAATCCTAAACTAGTCCTCTAACGTGGCTTTGTGTGTTTTATTTCTAACAGAGAAATGTTGAGTTGTAACTTACTTAAAAAAAATAAAAAAAAAACAATTATAGTTCTTACTGCTAGAAAAAAAAAAAGAGTTAAGATCCTAAATTTAAACCTGACCCAATTAAGAGCTCCAAGAAGAAGAACAAGATTCAATCCCCTCTAATGCATCACAAACCACACCCACATTTAGCTGCATAAAGACTACTGTGACATTATGCATAGAGAAGAATCTAATAAAGACAGAACTAAGAGGTTCAGGAAAACTCCCAAATGATTTCAAAAGACGCGCGAGGCTGACGGCGTCGTGGTTTCCGAGGTACTATGAAGCAAGGCAGAGCCGAGCTCAGGTAAGGCTTCGTGGTGCTAAAAACAAAAACATGTCGGCAGATCAGAAGGCGGGCCGGAGAGAGCTTTTCACAGCAAGACGAGCGGTCGAACGCGAAGCTCAGAATCACATTTTTCTTTTGGTTCCAAACAGCGTTCAGATGCAGCATTAAAGGCTTTCAAAAACATGTGCAGCTGAAGGATATGTGGAAACGCCACTCGCACTCCACAGGGTTTGTTATCCAGACTCTGGTGTATTAAAACGCTCTTAGAAAAAAGTTTTAGCTTGTTGGTTAAAAATGATCCCAAACCAAGAAAAGGAAAGCAGCCGACAGAGCGGGAAGACGCAGGTGGAGTCACTGCTTTGAGGGGAAAGGTGCGGCTCCGAAGGGGTCGAGGTCCAGCGGCTGTGAGGGTGCCGCCTGCTGCTGAGGTCCACTGTGGATGACCAGTTCTGTGAAGGGCACCGCCCCGAAGTCATCCATGATTCGGCTCTCTCCGTGCAGAGAGCCCGTCCAGGACTTACCGTTGGCCGTGCCGATGTCGCCTTTTCCGTCGCTGAGGCCTTGGTACTGGCTGTGTCGGCTGCCGTCCTGAGGGTGGAAGGGTTTGGCTCCAAACGGATCTAAAAGGGCGTCGTCCACCGGCAGAGACGCTCCCTCGGCCATCGTTATATCCACACTGATGTTCTCCTTAGAGTCAGAGGTGCTGAGGAACTCGTTGCTGCTCTGCGAGTCTCTGCGGCCGACCTTCTTGTGTCTGCGGACTCGTTCGGGCGTGCGATAGGTCGGCTTGTTAGTCTTGCGCCCTCCCGTCGGTGTGCCGTGGTGCCGCTTGCCGTTGCTGCCCCCAGCCGTGGCTTCCTGTTTGGTCTTCCGCTGGCGGGATGACAGCTTCTGAAGGCTGCGCTGCTTCAGCCTCTGCTGCTGAGGACTCGCCGACTCCTCGAAGGGCGTCCGGAAGATGTCTTCGGCACTTCTGGAGGTGGTGGGAGGTTGGGCGGTGGGGCTTGGCTGGAAGGGAGAGAAGCCAAATGCATCGATGCCCTCAGGAGAAACTGGCGGCGTTTGTCCCATGGGGACGTCACCGCCACTCCTGCTCGACCTCGAGAGGTTCCGGCTGAACGGCGCTTTGGTAAAAACGTCGAACTCGTCTGCCGCCTGCTGCTCATGGCCGACCTTGAAAGGCGCTTTAGTGAAGATATCTGTGACCTCTGGAGGTTCCACAGGTGAAGCTCCTCCGACAAAGGGCACGGCCCCAAAAACATCCACAGGCTCCACAGCTCTCACTCCACCAGGGGACTCTGGGGGAGTGATCAGAGCCATCCCAGAAGGAGGACTCCTGGTGGCAGCAGTCGCTCCTTTAGCTCCTGCAGGTTTCTTTGAGCGGTTCTTCACCCTGCTGGCATCATAGTCTGAATCTGAGCTGTGTTTGTCTTCATCCTCCTCTCCCTCCTCCTCAGAGTCCATCAGCAAAGGCCTCTGTCCAAAATTCTCTGGCTCGGTGTCTTCACCATGCTCGCTGTTCAACGCCTCCTCTTCCTCCGGCTCTTCGTCCTCGCTGCTCTTAGGTGAAGGAGGGTCAGACTCGAAGTCGCTGTCGGACTCGTCGCCGGGCCTGCAGTTGGTCTTCCTGCTCGGTTTGTGCTCCTTGTGGGTCGGCTGCAGACTCTCAGCAGGTTCAGGAACGCCGACCTCCTCGCTGGTCGGCTCGGCCTTCTGCGCACTGGTACCTGCAGAAACAAAACACAGATAATACAGATGTTAACCCCTGATCCTTCCAGATGTTTGATAGTTTTAACAACTGCCAAGTCAGATTTCTTGAAGGCATCCAACCCTTTTCTGATCTCTCCAAAAACAAAACTCAGTTTTTCATTTAGAAAACCTCACAAACCTGCAATGACTTCAGATCACACAAAACCAGTCAGAATAATAACACTGCAGGACGTGTAACTCAAGTCTTTGCTACTCATGTGTTTCGACAAAAACAAAGAAAGAAATCAGATGGACCAATCCCCCAAAACGCCTGTGCAACGTTAACATAAAATAACTATTTTATGGAAAATCGGTGACATCTCCCAGCTGGCAGCAGGTTTAACATGCCTACATTAGAAAATGATTTTGACACAGGAGGACTCGCAGGCAGAAGACAAGGCTGGTATCAGAACGCAGGTCATAAAAGATTTTTTCATATGACTGAGCAGCATCCATCCCACATGCTGTCGAGACCCCTAAACGTTTTACCCAGTGAATTCCACGGATGTCCACAGAGCAGGCATCCAGGGTCTCAATGCCAGTTTCTGTTCCTCTACAAAGTGAAATATTTTGGCTGTGACTCATAAGAATAATTTTATTGATCCCAAAGGGAGATTCATAGTTTTTACATGTGTCTTGGAGAGGTTAAAGTTTTTTAAAAAAACTGAGCTTAAATGAGCCAGCTGTTAAAATTTCATGTAGATTATCTCCTGAAGTTGTTGTAAATGCCGAGGCGCTCTGGTTTCACATTTTTCTTATCCAACATCATTTTAAGGTTACGCCGAACACATGAAAACACGGAGTGAGTCGCTTGTATGAGTGACACTCAGGCAGTCTGAGTCTAATGCTCTACAGTTCCTCCTTTTCTTTTCATTTCCATGTAGAAAAACTATTTTGGTCCGAAATCGATCTTTCCTTCTCGTCTTCGTCCGCCGCCTCTCAGACTGCTTCCATCCATCGTTGTTACCAACCTTCAGCTCACTCTGGCCGGCGGTGCCCTCTGAAGAGCTGATATCAGAGCTGTCTTGTTTAAGAGCTCCAGTCTGTGCTGCACTGGTGTTTGAGCTCTGCCTCCTGTTGTCCACATTACACCTGAATCACCGTGTGAACGCATTTTGAATTTTGCAGGAAAACTGTTAAAATGTATCCAAATGGGTGAAAACTGATTGTTGTTTTTGTGAAACAACAACTGATTCAATCAATTTTGCTAAAATCAAAAGTCAATGATAAGTGACAGACAGAGTCCTGATGCCTTCCGCTGCTTCTTCGACCGCTGTATTATGGAGGCATTACCCAGGATTACTCGGCTTATACGCAAACCTCCCCACACAAACAAATGCCCAAAAGTTTGTCTTATACTGAAGCAGAAGTGCAATCGCAAAAGTCAATATGGTCTAAAAGCTGCTCCGACTTCTCATCTCTGATCCTGCCATAAGAAGAGCGAGCTTAGAGGCCGGGGAAATAAGACGAGCAGCTTTTCAAGATTCACAGAATTACTTTTAAAGTTTAGAGATTTAAGCTGCGAGCGTCCCTTTAGACTTGAAAAAGGAAGCTTTGTTCTCTTATTTAAACTCTGCATTTTTGGAAATTCTTACATGTATTTTGGCATTTGGAGGAAAAATTTCTGCCTTCAGTGTGTAAATTTATGTCCAAGAGATTTGCATAATGGCAACTTAGAAATTATCCTAATTAGCGAGTGGATAGTCTCCAATTGTATTGAAGATAAACGGTGCCATATACAATGAGCCAATTCATTGTTCCCTATTAGAGGAACGCTGGGAAAAAGAGAAGAAGAGAACGACCCCCTGCTGCGAACATGAAAATGGAAACCAAGCGTCCAAACTGGCAGGACGTGACGGCGGATCAGCCAAAAGCTTTGCTGCCGATAAATCAAACAAGGCAGCACTCAAAGATAAGAAGTCCGAGCTGCTCTGCATCTGCTCGGCCCACCCGGATTAGAACTTGTAATCATGCTCACCTCCCGGAACGAGGCGAGCCCGCCAAACAATAGAAACATCTTTAATCATGAGAGAAGATGTCAGAGCCACGCGGATTTGTTTTGTGTTCCTCCGGTGGGGTGGGGGGAGATTCTGAAGGATTACAGGCTGCGTCTGATCTCTTAAAGATACAAATAAGTGGCGAAAACATGCGTGTGATTGTTCTCTTGTGTGACGGGAGATAAAATCTGTTAGAAATGAGCGAGAGCAGCAGGGGCTTACAGAAGTCTGTTCCCTCGCCGAACAACCGCCGCCGAGCACAGATTGATTTGACGAGGCCGCCGAGAGGTGAACCCAGCGACGGCGAGCCAAACGGGAACGCCCACATTGCATTTTATCCTGCAGGGTTCAGGTTAACGATTTTGGAGAGGGACGTGTCTGTAAAACTGTAGCTGCTGGATGGTCTGAACGCCTCCTCTATCCAGTACACCGTGTCGATTCCTACATGCATTTAGATGAGGGAGGAGAGGCGGCTGTAGGAGGACGAACAGGTGCAGTGTTTGTACAGGTGTGCCTCAGAGGTGGAATATACAAATCTTGTCCTTTTGATCTTGTTTCAGTAACTCATCACTTTGCATCACGCCGAATTAAAATTGACCCTAAACAGAAAACACGATGAGCACCTGTTACACCTGAAGCAATGAAATTAAGGAAAAAAAATATTTTATGAATCAGTTGTGCGACGCGTCGTATTTAACTGACATCGCTTCAGGCCTGTGAGATCTAAATCATCATTGCTGTCAGAATTTGCTTTCCCCCCCACTAACAGAGGACAAAGATACTTCTAAAAAGTATTTACTTTTCTTCAAAAAGCCCTTTCTGGGTTCTTCCAAACCACAGAATCAGGGTTGGGGCGAAGGAACTTCAGTGAGTTGTAATAATAGTTGATACACCTGTGGTCTCAACTCCTTCCTCGCATCTCTGGTAAGAGGAGCTACGACACAATGAGAAAGGGGGCTTGATTGACAAATGAAAGCGTGCGTGTGCACTGCTGGATCGTCCATCGTGAACTGCAGCATATTCAAAGCCTCTTTGATAAATCTTTGCTGTATAGTTTTACTCACAGCATCCTGATAGACTGATATCCAAATATGGTCAAAATTCCACCACAGACAGAAAGAAATGACGAGAACATGAAAGTTTGTCCAGAACTAAACCTGCAAACAAGGATTAACCACACTGAACTCACCATGTTCAGAGCTTTAATCTCCATCCGGTTTCCAGCAAACTAGGCATAGGGGCAAAGTCAGATTCACATCTACCCCTTTATATGGAAGATTCATCGATTTAACAGGAGAACTGCAGCCAAAATGCATGTAGGAGACTTGAAAATGTCTTTGTTGCCAAAGGTTGCAGAAATGCACCCTTAACCAAGCGAGTGAAGGACGCATGCGTCGCTGCTTCTGTTTCACACTGTTTTGCCAACCAGCCGTTGCACAGCATCTCAAACATGCTCAGCTTTCAGTACGAGCTAGACGGGGCGACACTTAAGACAGCCATCCTAACATCAGGAACATCTTGCTCGTGGTGTAGTGGTGGAGAGACTCTAAGCTTCTCTTTAAGGATAAAAAAGGAACCAAAGTGAGTATTGATTTTGGATGTTTTTTATTCATCAGTAACATTCTATAAAGAAGTACATTCACACTCACAGTATGATACAGGACCTTTTACATAGTCTGCTGCAAAAACAAGAAAACTACTGATCTATAGGTTGTTGTCTTTCTGCAGGAGAGGTACCAGGAGCTGCTGGAGTCAACTAAAGCTGAAGAGCTGTGACATTTTTCCAACACTTCTAATGAGAAGTTAAAAAAAAAAAAAAATCCAATAGTTTTAGTCATCTTATTGGAGGCTTCCTAACACATCTGCATGATTTAAGGCTAACAAAAAATAAAACAAAAATATAGTAACAAAGGGGGGAAACATCGCCCCGAGACAGAGAGGAAAGAGCACAGAAAAGTTGCAAATGTAAACAATATAAAACAACATCATCCTACAGATCCTGGGACAGTACTTCCTGTTTTGCTGCACTTTCAAAATAAAATAAAGTGCATTAATAACACTGACTGTCCCTTTCACTTGTTTTTGGCTCTGATGGTTCGCTTGTCCGAGCTATAGACCCATCCACCAATACACATGAACAAGATGTTTCTGAGAATGGCTGTCTCACTAAATGAAAAATGAGAAGTAAACAAATAAAACAAATAATTAAAAAAATAAAAACCAAAACTTAAATGAAGCAGTTTTTCCAAAAAAAGGCCCCAGTAAAGGCAGGCAGTGACATGAGCAGAAAAATGAGGTGGAACAGAAGCATCAAGCAGCTTTAACTCCAAACTTACCTTCAGCTAAACACAAATTACCACCGACTATATTCATTACAATGTGATATGGTTCATGTGTGGATGAGTGCCAAGGGAAACGCTCACTTGCTGACCTAAGGCGGATAAACAGCACAGTGAGGATCAACAAACATACAGCCCTTTAGGATTGTATGGATTAAAAAAAAAAAAAAAAAAAAAAAAAAAAAAAAAAAAAAAAAAAAAAAAAAAAAAAAAAAAAAAAATTTCCTCAATTTTTGACCAAAAATCAACATTTAAACAAGAGAATGTGCCATCAGCCAGTTGTATTCAACATAAAACTATTAAAACAATAACGAAAGTTAGAGTCAAGTCGAGCTGTGGCAGCTCCCTATCAAAATCATCATCTTTATATGAGTGGGATCTACTTTAATCACTTGTTTGGTCCATTGTTGTGGCAAAGAAAGAAAAAAAAAAAACCCCCACATCCTTTCATTAACCATCCAAGTTTTTGTATCCACTATAATTTTCTAAGCAGGTAAATTAACTGCATGAAAACAGTAAATCTGTCATGGATAAAGGAAAGTTTTTCAAAGAAATCCTTTTACGTAACCACACTCGCTCATTTTAGCGGATAAATTAGTCACTTAAAGGTTAAGATTACCTATAACATGTCGTAATCCGCCGTGACATCGGGTACGGGGAAGGCCAATAACACATTTTCTGATTCGACCTCATAAAGTTACTCAGAGATCTTTAAGAGTTACGACGGGCACCCTGTTATCTGCGCTTGATAGAGTTAAAGTAAGATTTTATGGAAGTTCCTGTAAAGTAAATCAGCACACTGGTCTTTTTATAAAATGTAGTTCCTTTGTTAAAAAAAATAAAATAAAAATACTGTCAGCTGTTGGTCATCGAAGAGGATTAAAATCAACTTCCCCACCGTCTGGCAGCAGGCACAAGTACAAGTCGCCAACACCAGAAACACTTGAATCACAAACTGGATATTTATTAGGGTTTTAACGCTCAGAAGCAGAGCTGCAGGGGACCAGCAGGTGGAGCTGGAGCCCGATATCGAATCGCGGAAAATAAAACCTGACCCGATCCGGTTTTTAAAGTCAGCAGCGGGCTTTAAAACAACAAAACACTAAACTAACCAACTAATGGCACAAACACGAGCGAAGAGGCTGCTCCAAAATTTGCTGCAAATTTTTTCATGCCAGCCTGAAGGAATGAGTCCCAACAAAGTGGGTTCTGCATCAGCTCGGTACAAGAGTCCCTTTTCTTGTTTTTTGGCTTCTTTTTTGGTTTTTCATTTTATCCAATTTGAACTTGTATAGATTTTTATATTCCTTAAGTAATAAGTGAAGACGATAAAATATTTCCACACTTACATTCAAGTGCTTATAGGGTTATATTGCATTGTCATCTTGTCTTAATCTACTCTAAGATGGATTTGCATTAAGCCTGCGTGTTTGAGATGAATTTACTGTAGAGAGAGAGAAAAGAAAAAAACACTCACTCTCCTTTAGAAAATAAAGTGTTTCAGGATTAATCATTAAATATATTCCATTAATTATAAACGGCGTGTCTAAATCACCTATCAAAACATTAATCAATTCACATTTAAGGAGCAGGAAGAGTACAGAGGCACAGAAGCTTATTGCTGCCACCGATGTGATAAATGTAGAAATACTGCGCTCAGATATTCACATTGCTTTAACAAGGCTGTGATCTGTGTTCGGGGAGAAGGGGAGGGGGGGTGAACCACAAGCAGTCTGACCGGTTAATGAAGCCAAATCAGAAGAACTAATCATCAGGTTATGACGTCGGCCTCCACAGTAAAGTGCTCACTCCACATGTGAAGAACATTTGAGGCTTCGGGAAAACTATTGTGCAACGTGTGAGGAATCTTTGCAGTTTCAATGGCCGCGCAGGGGCGACAGTATCACCATGTAAACAAACGGCAACGAGCCATAACTTTGGAAGTTCAAGTTTGCTTTTTTCCCCCTCCTCAAAGTGGAGTTTGTTAGTACCAGGGCTGAGCGATGGTTCGACAGACGCCGTAATAATACAGGAGCTGAAAGATGGGTGTGAGATCATCTCAGCTACATGTTTCAGTCCCTAACACCAAATATATAGCACCAACTCTCCGATATGGTAAATCAGGCAAAATAAAACATGTTTACAAAGCTGCGAGTAAAACAGACGCTTTCGGACCAAAGAGTTCCAACGATCAGAGCTTTTTTCGTCCTTTCTGATGAAAACTGAGTTGAATAGAAAAGCTTAGAAAAGACAGACCAAGGAAGGAGCTGTGGGGGGGTTGTAATTTACTACGCAGTAATACTGTCCTTCACTGCCTCACTGCGAGTGACTCCTTGATGTACAGGACTGGTTTAAATCTATGGATCTTCCCAGGAACGCAGCTGGACTTCACAGTGATGACAACCGTTATTTAGCTCTCATTATGCCAATGCAATAATTAGTGTGTGCCTGTTTTTCCATTGTATTAGCAAACTACGGAAATGCTCCAACTCGGCTCTGAAGTCATAAAAATGACAATATTTGACCTGATGAGTCCAAATCAGGTTCTTAAAGCCTGGACCAATGTCTCTGTGTTTTACTCTAATTTTATTTATCTATTTATTTGTAAATATACAAGTTGTCAGTGCTGCCACAGCAAACACCAACGCCACTAAAGGCTCCTCTTGTGCTGGAGTTGTCTGTGAACTTTATGGCCTCATTCCTGAAGTGCAGACATGCAGAAAGGTGCGACTTCCTGTCAGAGTCGAAGGAACTGCAAAAGTCCGAAAGCAGCTCAAGCGTTTGGCTGAACACCGAATAACCCGCTTTATTAAGACGACTGTAATACTATTAAATTCAAATGGTGCTATAATGAATTTGCTGCAAAATTTAACACCATGAAGAAAAAAAATATTCTTATGACTCCTGAAATTCTTTTAATTAGATGGCCTTTGTATTCATTTATTCACCAGTCAGAAACTAAATAACTGACATTTAAACATCACTCAGCCCTTTGTAGTACCAACCACGTGACATTTCATATTGCTTTTAAACAGCAATTTCATCCAGCTCTTGTCCAAGCTGGACACAGAAGTTTTTGCTTCTCACCAAACTTTTTTTTTTTAAATGCACTTTTATTCAAAGTGTAATTTAATCCAAAGTGCCTCACAATGAGCACATACCTCTGACTGTTCTGTGTTAGTACCTTGCTCCAGCCGCGTGGAGAGAGACGTGTTTATGAGTGGACTTCCATCTGACTTGCATAAAGGTTTGTTCCAACAGGACATTATATTTTCATTAATAAGCCCTCTGTTAAACTTCACTGCACTGAATGCATCGACACACCTGCTACTCCTTCGCTTCCTATTTTAACCACAGGAGGAGCAAAAGCTGCAATTTGCTTTTTTTAAACCATTATTATTAATAATAATATGATTCATAATGACAGCATAAGTGCATCTAAATCTTCCAACTAACATTAGGAAACAACACAAATCTGGCTGATCATTGGTTTTAAATGGCCCACTGCTGGGTCCTTGTGGCATAGGAGCTTCTGACCAGAGGTCAGGTGAGGGGAGAAGACTGGGATGAGGGGGGGGGGGGGCAGGAAGAGGACAGACTGGGGGAGGCAGGTGGCTCCACAGTGTTGGGTCCTCACGGTAGAGACTCCTCTAAGACTTGCCTGCGTTGGCCACAAATGGGACTGAGCCGAAGAGATCCTCTGGAGGAAGGGGCTTGGCTGCGGCGGCAGGCGGCGGTCGGTCAGTTTCCACGCTCGTTGTCCTCTCCGCTGGCTTTTCTGTACATAAAAGATCACAATTAGATATCTACAGCTACGAGGTGATAGAAGTAGTTTTGAAATTAAATATTGTTGCATATGATTGTGGGTGTTACTGATAAATGTTCCCTCAAATATGTACAGACTCCCACAGCTCTGAGAATACACTCAGTAAGAGCACAATGCCCAAAATCTGCTATTTTAACAACAGAAAAATGTTTATTCTCCATCTGGTTAAAAAGCTAAATAAACACGGTGATACACAATCATGTGGTTCACATGCCAGATTTTTCCCTTCATCTGAAAAAGACATTAACGAGGAGCTGAAATGTTTACAGAAAATTTCTCCGTCTACGGCAACACTTTTCAAACAATCACCTCTTTTCTTTCTTTTCTTGAAATGACAAAAGAGTTAAAACGTTAGAGTTCACTTGCTTGCTCTGAGCATGTCAAATTCCCGGTCAAGCAGCTCCTCCTCGGTCAATTTAGAAAAGTTGTCCTCTCCGAAAGGGTTCCAGCCTGACATATCGGGAGGGTTGCTGACTGCACTGCTGCAGCTCTGCAAAGGAGGGGTGACCCCATCTGTGGACAGCAGAGGGTTCCTACGGCAGAGAGAGGACAGCAAACAGACCACGTTAGAGACAATACCAATCAGATATTTCTCAGACCTCACAAACTGCATGCGTTTTCCAAACAACCGATAGGTCTGAAAAAACCCAATGCTGAAGTGAGAACAAACGGCTGAGGTCACGGTGCTTGCATCCATCTTCAACATACAGATGATTAATGTAAATCCCATTTTCACATCACATAAAAACTTTCTATGCTTAAAAATGGAAAGAAGGGAAATACTTTCACATGTAGAAGGAAACCAATCTAATTTCACTTCCACAAACAGATTCAAAGGACATTACCTAGGGTTAGTGTATGAGGGATCTACAGGAGATGGCCCCCCCATCTGGCAAGTACCAGCTCCAGTTCCTGTGGTGGGTGTGGTCGCATTGTAGGAACCCAGAGGGATCTGGAACTCAAGAGGGGAAGACATATAGGGGAGAGGCTGCTGAGCAGGATGATGCTGCTGCTGCTGTGGATGTTGTTGATGATGTTGCTGATGCTGCTGTTGTTGCTGGACAAAAGCCTGTTGGTACTGTTGCAGCTGTTAGGGAAGGAAGAGAGGGAGAAGAAGGGGGGGAGGGAATGAGGGACGGACCATTGATTTCATGGCGCATTATGATGATGAAATGTTGTTAGAAACCAGTTCTGGATTTGGAAAGCTGGGGACACGGTGGAGGGGAGGGATGAGGGAATGAAAGTCAAAACAGCACATCGAACACCAAACTGAACACATCAACTAATAACGACTAACTCAAACTATGGCTGACAGATCAATTTTCTGGCCAATCAGAGAGTCCGAAACACTTCGAAACAAGATGCTCAAGTCAGTTAAAGTTCTGGGGTATTGATCTGGTCAACCGCACGTGGGAGATTCCAGGAGACAGTCGTTTCAGGAGAGCTGGTATCGACGTCTTTGTACAAGGTGGAACAGGATGAACACTGCCAGAACCCTACAGAAGGCCACTGGTGTGAATGTTTCGGACCGAACAACCAAAAAGAGACTTCACGAGGTTGGCAGTTCCAACACTGGCACCCTGTGCTTTTCACAGAAGAGAGCAGGTTCACTCTGAGCACATGTGACAGACGTGAAGGGGTCTGGAGAAGGCCATGCTGCACGTAACATCGTTCAGCATGAACAGTTTGGTGCTATGGTCCATGATGGTCTGGGAAGGGATATCCATAGGCAACATCACCCTAACTGCCAGAAAGTATGAGGATGAAAGCCTTGGACCCACAGTCAAACCCTACACTGGAGCAGTGGGTCCAGGGTTCCTCCTGGTGCACGACAACGATTGGAGGATACAGGAATTGATAACATTGACCGTCCCTTAACGCTCGCCTGACCTAAATCCAATAGAAAACCTCTGGGTCTTCATGTTTAGGGTCATCCAATCACTCATGATCTGGGAAGAGATCCCAGAGGACACCATCCATTGCCTCATTAAAAGCATGCATACAAGCGCACAGGGGACAAGTACCTTTTTAAGTTGCTGCAATGAAATTTTTGCAAAATGGGCCAGTCTGCTGCATCAGTTTTTCACTCATTTTCAGTGCGTCTTTGAATTCAGGGCTCTGCAGGTTAATAATTTTAAGTTCTATAAAATGATGTAGCAGTTTTACCCAGTCCATATCAGTGCAGATATCTAGCATAATTTTTTCCCCCCATTGCAGTCTCATGTGTTTCCAAAGTGTTCCTTTAATTTGTTTGAGTAGTATATAAATAAATTCTGCAAATGACGACGAAATGAAAAAATACAGTTTATGGTTCACCTTTTTCTCTAAATCCTCTAGTCATCCAACACTTTCTCTACTCTCCAAGTTTGTAAAGCAGTTTTTTCACACTGCTGTTGTGCATTTAAAGTACCGCACAAATGAAACTGATCCAATGTCATTAAACCATATTACAAATGTGCAACGCGTCTTCCTCACAATAAGGAGCAGGTCTAAGATCGGTGTGGAAATGCTGCTTTTTAAACACTAAGCAGGTATCTTGGGAATAAGAACAGTAATTCTGAGCACTCGCCTCTTCCCCCGAATATGAACCGCTTCATATGTCAGAACGCAACATAGATAAAACTGCTCCATTTCACCCTCTGTTCGATCCCCTCGTGGCTTCGCTCAGACCAGATTGCCTCTGAAATAAAACAGATGGTACGCGCTCGGTGGGAAACAGACTAAAAATTACGCCGCCCTTACAGTGCACATTTGGAGGACCTGTGTTTGTGTGTTTGATTCAGTAAATACTAGTTTTCAGAATATTTGGACAGATTCAGTAGGAAGTTTGAGCGTCTGCTTCCAATGCTGCTTGGCACAGACGTGAGGAGATTCGAGGGAGGAGGACTGGCTGCCAGTGTTTGGAACAGAGAGCAAATTTAGGCCATTATGACATTAAATGAAATATTCAGCTCCGTGTTATTTCACGCTGTGTCTCCATGTGTTTCGCTGTCATTTGCTCAAACTATTTACTGCAGTTTTGGATAAAGTCTTCTGCTCTGAAATGCTGTCACGTTTTTTTTTCCCCAGTCGCTTGAACAAAAAGCAAATTCAATTTGATGGCTGTCGATTCGAGAGCAGACTCCACATAAGCCAAGCCGCACAAGGCCAAAAAGGGGCCACATGTTTGTTGATATGGCCAGAACAAACTGAGAATTTGAAATTGAGATCTGTCCAAGTCAAGTATTACCTTCTTGATTTTTAAATATTGAGCATTGGAGCTACATGACTACAGGTAGATAGACTGGGAGCCATTTCTGCTGTTTGGTGTCTGGGTCTTGGCTGCAGACCCAGCTCTCTTCAGCAGGAGAAACTGCATGAGCACTGGAAGTGGTCCACAGGTGCGCAAAACAAAGATGATGTTGAATTAAACCAAACGTCCTTTTTAAACATAACGAATGCAGTCACCAAAGTTTAGGGTATCTTATTGCATCACTGGGGGTTTTGGCGTCACATCTAGACCTCTGAAAGGACTCACCATGGCGGCGTACTGAGCCTGAGCAACCTGCTGCTGATACATCATCTGCTGCTGCTGCTGCTGTTGGAGCATGGCCTGTTGTTGCTGCTGCTGAAGCATGGCCTGTTGTTGCTGCTGCTGAAGCATGGCCTGTTGTTGCTGCTGCTGAAGCATGGCCTGTTGCTGCTGCTGCTGCTGAAGCTGAAGCGACTGCTGCACAGCCTGTTGGTACTGAAGTCAAAATTTAAAAAAAAAAGTTTGGAAAACATTGCCTCCAAGTGATGGCTTAAAAATGACTGATGCGTAATAACTGGGATCATGGTGTGACGTACCTGGAGGTATTGGAGTTGCTGTGCATTTGCATGTTGTTGCTGCACTGCCTGGTGGTGGTGATGCTGTTGTAGCTGCTGCAGACGCAAATCACCAGGTTGTAGCTGCTGCAGGACTCTGTGTTGTTGACTGCTGGCCTGTGGCTGAGGCTGTTGCTGAGGCTGAGACTGTATGGATGGTTGCCCAGAGCCAGGAGTGGGAGCTGAGAGGTACAGATGAACAGCGTTTGTTCTTTAGACTCCAGAAAAGGAAATAACAAAATCCAGGATATCGAGGGGTTTATATATTCAGATATCACATGGTGACGAGAGCTGAGCTGGTTGCTGATTTACCAGTCAATCAACATTCTGCCTACATCCACAGATGAGGATGCAGGCAATCAGCAAAACATTGCAGCATTATCCTCATTTGGAAGATATTTAGTTCTGGAATTTATGCATAAATAAATAATCATAAATAATTTTCAGTAATTTTAAGAAATGTGTTTTGGTTTGTTTGAAAATAATACTGTGTATATATAGTCTGTACTGTATTTTGTCGAAATAAAGACTTTTAACAAACTCCTTTAAAGACATTTTCTTAGATATAAAAATCCATCCTACTGATGTTTAACAAACCTTTCTGGCCGTTGCTGACGGGTGCTGAAGGCACGGTCATCTTGACAGGGGTGACAGTGTTAGTGAGAGGCAGGACATTACTGTTTGCAGCCTTTGGCCGCTGTCTGGGAGCTATCGATGTTTCCGTTGGGCCCACAGAGTCTGTGATCCTGTAAAGGAGGAAGCAAAAGTGTCCCTCAGCATGTGCAGGAAGAACTGTACTATGTGCGTTTGTAACAGCTGACAGGCTGTGATCTCAAGAAAAAAACAAAACAAAAAAAACCAATAAAATAAAAAATGAATACATAAGATTAAAGTAATCCATCATTTCCATTTTCAGTTTATACATAATAAAACTGTCGGTGAGCAGCACCTGGCTTTCGTCAAGCTCTTCTTAGCAGCGACCTCGCTGGCTGTCAGAGGCTCAGGGAGTGACGTCGGGATGGGAGAGTTCTAGATAAACAGCAGGGAGGTTCATTTTAATAAGCCAGTGAGGAAAGGCTAAAGACATGCTGACTGTTTTATGCCTGTGACTTACGAAGAGATTTGGCACTGGACAGTCTTTTCCAGCTAATTTGAAGGCAAAATAGGACACTTGGTAAATGTCAGGTCTCTTCTCCTGGTCTGGTTCGAGCATATATCCTGAAGAAGATTAAAGATCACTTTATACACTATAAGAGCAAGATTTCTACAGTTAATTAAAAGGAAGTTTCAGTTACTTGAAACAAAAGTTAAAACTAGAGAGTTGAAAAAGAAACTATTTGAAACCACTTTCATGCATTTGTTCACTGACCTTTTGCTTGTTGGGCAATTGTGTAAACCACTACACTATTGAGCTGCTGTAATATCTTGTCCTCTTGATTGTTTTGCTTTGATGTAGTTACTTATCTAAGGTGGAAAGTTTTTTTTTGTTTTGTTTTTGCTTTGCTTTCTTTTATTCTTTGCTTCGAGCCCTGTGTACAGGAGCTGCATGCAAAAAGATCTTTCGTTAAAAGGGTTGGCGTAATAAGCAAATGCTTCAGCCAATACCTTTTGATTAGCCTTGTCTCATGCTTTCTTGCTTTGTGGTAGATCTTTGTTCTGTATTCATTGAGATATTTGAATGCTAATCAATAAAATCAAAATCAAATCAAATATCTTGTCTAAATTCCTAATTCTTGACCCTGACATTATAATAATTATGAGAAATCTTTTCTTTTAAAACTAAATATTTTTAATCCAGAACAATGAAACAGTAACCAGCAAACCCACTCTGCAAAGTAAGTAAAGCTAAACTAAAAATATATTTATATATATATAAAAAAAAAAAAATACATTTAAAAAAGTTTAACAATATCAACTCTGGTGCAGAACAACATGTATTTGGCATGTATTGTCTTCCCTTGACCACTTGGTGGAGCTGTTTGTCAAGTGTTTTAAAAAGGAAGCTCCGCCACAGGATACATTTGGGGAAGTGAAATAACTTGAGCACAAACAAAGCTGTCGTGACTGACGTCCTCGACTGGTTCAAACAGGCTTGAGTTGGGTAAATGCATTAAAAAAAAAATTAAAAAAAAGACTGAAAGAGATCACTCTGTGGGTGACAACAGCGGAGAAGAAACCACACTAAAAAGGTGGAAACTGTAACATGGCTTTGTATTTCTTACATTTATCTGTGAAATTACATCAAAGTAACATTTGTTACGGTCAAGCCTAAAGTCAAGCTCCATAATGCGGGAGACGATTTCCAATTTAAACAACATTTTTTCACATCTTTGATAATCTGCAAATGTGGGAGACAAATTGCAGACAGAATATTTTGCTAGTTGACAAAATGATGTTAAATAACTACTGAATCAAAAAAGACACCACAGGAAAAAACAAAACAAAACAAACGAAAGTTATTCTGGATAGTTATTAATAACTACAAAGCTGTATTCAGCTGCTCCGTGTGACACGTTAAACTCCAACTTACTGATTAAACAGTGCAACTTGAAGGAGAATTTGGAGTTATCTGGAACGATAAAGGTTCCATCACATATGGCGACTTGACTCTCCCCAAATGGAAGTGCGAAGAAACACAGCTTGTACAACAAGCATCCAAGTGCCTGTGGAGAAAACAAACAATCTGGTCAAACACCTGTATCCAGTTACTTTGAGGATGGGCACTGCTAGAGACTCAGCCCCAGTGCCAACATCATACCCAAGTTTTGTTAGTGTGTATTCTATCGCAAAACCCAAAACACCCAGCGTGAGGAGTGTATCCATGTCTTCAATTCAAACACCACCTCATTTTCTCCCAAAATAAAGCAGCTAATATTGATAATAATAATAACAATATCTCATTAAACATCAGATGCCATGGAAGTTTTTGATGCAGACACATTTTGTTTATAACTGAAGAAATACTAGGTTTGTTCAACTAAGCCTGAACAGCCCAAAGGATTTAAAGCAAAACTCCGTAAGTACCCAAAATACCCATCAGAACCTGGGTGCTTTCCTCCTTGCCCTGAGACAATGACGATACAAACAACAGTGATAAACTTTAAATGCATGTTTCCTGAATTACTGAACCACTGAAATTATCTTTAAGATGTTTTCAGTAATTTGGTGGCATGCGATAAAATTGACTGATAGGCTTAAATAGAAAACAAATCAAGATTACCATTAAAGGATACAACAAGTCTTTGTAAGAGGTCTAAGATGATGTGTGCGGGAGAATTATCAGTGGTGCTCATTGGTATTCATCACATTAAAAGAAAAGAAAAATGGGATTCTACAATCACTGAATAGATCAAGAAACCATGCCCTGGCCCTCGAAATGATGCTTCCTTTCTCTTCCTACAGAGGTGCACAGGTCCTTATTAGAAAATAATATTTTTATTCATGTCACACGCTAAAAAACTGTTTACAAAATCAGGCTCAGAGTCTGCTCTGCAGGCAGTATGGCTGTCCAAACAAACCGGCATGCAAAAGTGCTCTGAACTAAAACATATATTCAGTTTAAGCTATATTTGGCTCCAGCATATCTGCTGACCATGCAGTTTGGGATGAAAGAGACTTTGGAATTAGCCGCACCATTAGGGAACGGTTTCCCTTTAAGCGCTCCATCTGATGATAGTCTGCACCACTCTCCTTAACAAGCTAATCCAGGCTGATGCTCTTAATCTAAGTGAGCCAGCGTGACCACCAAACAACCCCACAAAGTAGGAATAAACGCTTAAGAAATGTGTGTGGGGCACAGCTCACTGTCAGGCACATGGCTTAAAAACAGGAAGTGACAGCACATGGGGTAGTTGACAGGAAGCTGGGGGTTTTTTGGACTCCTACAGTAGGCATTTTCCTTCGACCAGAGACTGAATAGCTCTAACAGACTGAAGCCACTTTCATCAGGCTGTGCTGAGCCGTGCTGTCTTACTACTGACTGACTATGTATTCAGAGAGGAAGCATTAAAGAAGTATTTTATAGACATGCAAAGTAAAAGGATCGACCTTAATCTCATCATCTGGAGCAGCTTGATAATGGCAAAAATCATCATCACTTTATTACTGATGTACGATATTGATGCATAAATCTGACATTTGGATCAGATATCAGTCCGAGCCCGACTCAATAACCCTGATCAGGTATCTGTGACAATGGGCTCATCTACAGGCCCATCTGTTCGAGTCAGTTTAATGACACTTTGCGTTTATGCGTTGGCAACAACTAGCCAGAGATCTAACGTAGCATGGAGTAGGCAAATGGCATGGGGTCAAGAGTGTGGGGCCTTTAATTCTTTGTGAAAGTTTCTGATTTGACACCACAGCTTCTTCCAATCTACTAATAATTTTAGGTCTTTTTTAAATGTTTCAAACAAAATAAGATGCTTACTAAACATTCTAAGAAATAAAACACTAGTTGTCCCATTATCAGCCACATCCTTGGCTGTTTTACGCCATTAACGTACACAATTCCTTAATAATGGCTCCTGTCCAAACACTTGTTTCCGCTTCTCTGCCTCTTTCTTTCAAAACAGCAGAGGCCCATTTCACACAAGCCTATCAAGGCCCTTAACTGAGTCTAATAATCACATATGGACCCAAAATGAAAAAGGACGGGGAGCAGAGAGGGAAGAACAACTAGCTTTGTTGTGACTGATGTTGCTGCTGGAGAGCTGGTGGAGGCAAATAGCTGGGAGAGAAAGAGAGAGGAGGAACCTGTCGGGGCAGAGTACTGCCAGGCCAAACCAGCCCTGCAGCCTGCGTAACACACACAGACAGCATACATACAAACAGGGAAGGACCTTACCCATATATCAGCCTTAGTGGTGATGGCTTTTCCTGCATACAAGTTAATCATCTCCGGCGCGCGGTAAGAAAGGGTTGTGTACCTGTACAACACAACAACAGGAAGTAATCGATGAAAGTATGTCCTGTTCAAAAATCCAGCACTGCTAGGAACTTTCTCCCCGTCATTCACTGCTGATTTACATTTCTACTCTAACACATTTTCAGTATTTGTAGTTTTGTTTTTAAATGAAGTGTATTTCAGTCACTCAACTGATGTTTAAAATTAGTGATTACAACAGAATACAGTTAAGAGCTTGGCAACTAGGCTCTGTATTACACACAGAAAATTGGGGAGTGATTACTAAACATCCCCTGGAGCCTACAGGTGGATGCTGGGGTGGAGGAGGTGCTGGAACATATCCAGGGACGACTCCTGTGTGAAATCTGCAGCTTGAATAGGTGTGTTTGGTACAGTTTGAGCTGGCTTTGCCTGATGTTTTTGTTGGCTGTTGAAGTCACAAAATTAAAATACCTAATATATTTCAGGTCACCATTAATCTGAAATAACTGAAAAGACTCTTTTTATGTTTTCTGATTTTGCTACTAGGCAACAGGCAAGTATACATCTATTCGTTTTTGACGTCCTCAAACGCACCACTATGTGTAGTAGCTAGAATCAAATTATTTTATTCAGCTGTTTTAACACTGACCAGGTAGGACAGGAGAGGATTTTTAGGTTTCATAACAACATGTTTGGCTCTAACAGTGAACCAAAACAAAAGATGTAGCTAAGCAGCTAAACAACAGGCTCAATAAGGGGCCTGATAAAGTCAAGGGGAACTTCACATTCAAATGACCTTTTCTCTTCTGATTCATCGCTACAAACAACTTCTAGTGCAAAGCAAAAGCACATCACTGCAAAAGAAGGGTGTGCTTGATTTCACTCACACACACACACACACACACACACACACACACACTCACACACACACACACTCACACACACTTTCATATCTCAGTGAGGACATCTAATTGACATGCTTTCCCTAGCCACTTGCTGCAACCATCAAAAATGAATGTCTAACCTTAACCATAGCCTAACTGTAACCCTGTAACCTTGTAATGCCTACAAAACTCGTGGGGACCAGGATTTGTCCCCATAAGTGACTGTTGGTCCCCACAAGTATAGTAGCACTCCAATTTTCTGCACTCAAAGATATCCAAACATAGTACACACAAACCAGTTTTTTGTTTTTCTAGTCACTGGCCAAAGTTATAATTCAAATTCAGATTCAAACTTTTATATGTATCGTTTTGCACTTTCACATAAATACAAGCTTTCAATGCTTTCATGACTTTGTCTGCTTCTGTTTATTGATGCACAGAAAAAAAAAAGCGACTGCAGGTCAGAGAGTTCCTCATTTACTGCAATAGAAGAACAAACATTTCATTTAGCTTCCTCTTCAGAATCTGTCTGATAACATTCAAAACAGCTGGTTGCATTTTGAGCAAGTCCAGCTTTGAAATGTTAGATGGAAAACCAGCTGAGTCAGCGTAGATCTAAAGCCCATTTCTGTATGACTGGGCAGATTTACACATCGTCCTATTACTGATAACAACCACACATACTGCACTTTATTGCAGCTATAAACGGGTGAAATTGAACAGGCCAACGCTGAACAGGCTTCTGTGATTTGACACTATACAAACAGAATCACATCTAAGACTGCAGATCCCTGCCATACAAATGTGCATGGGGCAAGAAGTGCCTACATAATCACATCCCATTACTGGGCATAATCTCTGATATCTGTTGGTTCTGGGCCATTACGCAGCCACCTACCACAGACGGCAGCACCTCTCTCTGCACTGGAAATTATTTTTTTTAAAAACTAAGAAAGATAACGAGGCAAAAACTGCCAAGAAACTGCCACACAGTGCACACTGACCTTGTTTATGTGCCTCACATTTCCTCTGAACTCAAGATTTGATTATCAGCAACGATCTTTAAACGCTCGTAAACACGCATGCACACACGCACACAGTCTACACCCAACAATGTTTTCACTTTGTGACTTATATTAGTTTGTTTTTTTCCTCCATATTTTTTTTTAACCAAAACAACAAATATAAGGCCATGATTCTCTTTTATGGTTATCCGTTTTGTTTTTATTATCATCATCATCTATGATAGATAATGACATTTAAGCATTTTTACATTTTACTCTTGTTATACTTAATGCTGCCCATCTTAGCCCGGGACATTTTCTCACAGAATAGATTCCTTAATCTCATGAGTTTTACTACAAGAAAAATTATTATTAACAATGAAAAGTAATTAATTTGAATCCACCAGCCACAAAAAAAAAAAACTGTCATGAACATATTAAATATTATATTCCACTCAGTCTACCTCTCAGTGTGAAGCAGTCCCTGATTATTCATCAGACCAATCTTATTGTTTCATATCGACTCAGAAAAAGAAAATATTTGACTTTTTAAAATGTCAAAAGAAAAAAAAAAAAGTCCTAATATAGAGACTTTATGGGATTGGTGGTGGCGTTTAACAGCTCTTCCCTTACAGGACACATTTTTAAAAACATTGACAACCATCAAACAACTGGCTATGTTCAGGCCCTAAAAACCCTTACTTCTTAATCTCGTCCTCCACAGCAGCCACGCCGTCCTTCTGTGGCAGTAAAACTCTGTGAGTGGCGCTGCCAAAGTCGCACAGCACATAATTTCCTTGGTCATTCAGCAGGATATTCTCAACCTGGCAAAAAAGAAACACAGCAGGGTTTGGGATGTTTTCATGAGAAAAATGACATAATGGAAATAAAAACTATTGGAAAAATTAATGAAAACCCTACACTACACAGCACAGATGCACCTAGCGAGGGGGGGGGGGGAACAACAGCAGAAGAAGACAATAATTCTAATGTGTTAGTGTGCACAGGTAAGTAGAAGTCTCTAATGTTTTCAGAGCCTCTCAGCTGCAGTCTTAGTACAACGTTTAATGTTTTAATTTCATAATTTGTCACTCCTCACTTTGACGGTTTATACCTCACTTATGGATGGCTTTAGATTTCAACTGCTGGCTTTTGCTGAACATAGCTTTCAGGTCTGGTCCAAATGTTGGTAAATCATAACTAATGAGGGGCTGTTTTTTGAAGCCATCAAATCTTATCTGCAATTACACAGTCCAACCATTCGTTAATACGCTATACCCAAGTCATACTTTTCCACATTGGGGAGAGCACACCGTTCCCCAGGTGTAAACACAAAGCCACTGCCTTAGTGACACACTAAACACAACAACACCTCACTGGCCATTGTTTGCATGTGGTCTGGAACAATGCATCCTAACACGCAGGGGTCAAAAGACATCAGAAATGTCGAGATGGTCAAGGTCAAGAGGAAAATGAAGAAGACAAAGAAGGCCAAGAGGACAACCAAGACAATTCGCTTCTGACGGAGTTTGTGCAGCTGTTGTCCAAAATGTTGTAACCATGAAAGAAGCTGGAATGAGGTTAACACCAATAATTTCACATTTTTAATGTGTTTAGAGTCATCATGTGACCTAAAAAAAACCCCATAAGCCTCAGGTCTTAAAGGTATGAGTTTTAGAGTCAAAAACAAAGACTGACAGTTCATATCAGTTTTTCTTATACAGACTTTCATTCCTCTTCCCTTCAGTACATATCTCCACCTCTCCAGGATCACTTGGACGTGCAGATCGCAACGCTGTGTGTAAACAGTCTATAGAGAAACCAATCTGCCACTGCAAACAGCGAGAGGCTCAGAGCTGATCCCTGATGCAATCAGACCCCCAACCTTGAACCCAACAGTCACTCCTGATGCACACCTCACCACTGTCTCGCTGTCTCATACTTGTCTCCTGCACCACTCGCACACATCACCACTCCCGACTTCCTAAATGCACCACAGCTCCTGTTTTGGGACCCTCATGTCCTTTCTCTAGATCCAAGTGTAACTCCCTCTGGGATTCTCAATCAGCACCATCGAAGCAAATATCACATTATGACCGCTCAGTATGAAGTCATAAAGGTGCTTCCCTGACCCTCACCTCTCTCCTTAACCTAGCTTCAACAACTCTCTCCTATAACTTCATCAGCCTTTTTTTTTTAGTTTAATACTATGGTTAGTTTTTAATAAACAATTGGATGTAATTTTGAAAAGATCTCATTAGTGTGTGTTTAATGAAAAACCTTAAAAACACAGACACTGCTTCCTGGCACTCTGAATTTATTTGGAAAGTCAGACTGGTATGAAGTATTCCACTAAAATCACATCAGCTGTGATAGACAGATGAGCAAACAACCAAACGGTGGCTCGTCGACTCCTATTACATTATACAGAGATTCCATCCTCACAAAACCTGATCTAACACTGATGTTTCAGCTGAACTGAGCAAGCCAGCTTTGTGTGGGTTTAATGCCTCATTTTTCAGTTAATATTTCTACCTTCTGAGGCAGAAAGAAATGAAAAGCAACCAGGAATAAGATTTTAAAATTAAACATCTGAAAGGAGGAAACCAGTGATGTGTTTGTGGGAGATGTGGCAGAAAAGATGAGACCAAAAAGACTTTAAACTGTCCAAGGAAAACCTGAGCTAATGAAAGAAACAGTGAGTGCCTCAATCTGTTGACAGCTCAGGGTTAAGGGCCTTTTTTGCACTCTCACTTCCCCTGGCACTGCGTGACTGGGCCTCCGCAATCTTTTGTGTCCCTGCAACGTTATGTAAGCCGTGTAGGCTGAACAGATAGACAGCGAACAGAGGACCAGCCTGTGGAGCTGAAGGGACTGCACTGTTTAGAGGCTTGTCCAACTGGACTGAGTACAGCAGTGCACTGATGGGGCCACTGAGGAGGATTCAACTAGGGTGGGAAATTACCACCAGTCTCCAGGCATCAGCAAATGAGGGCAAATCTGGCTTTTAGCCACCCTTTGAATTAGAAATCTAAAAATTAAAGTGGGTTAAAGTTGGCCAGGAAGATTTAACTTTGGAGCTCTGGAACAATCCGGAAAAGGTCATAGATGAGCAACAAACGGGGTTATCGGACGAGAGGAAGGAGTGGAAGTAAGTGAACGAGCTGGCAAAGGAAGCAGCGACACGTAAGAGGAAGCAGAGGAGTGAGAATGAGGGGTGAAGTAAAACTAAAGCATTCCTCCTGCTGACCACGCAAATTTAGTTCACTTATAAATAACATCTGATATTTAAATTAAATAGAAACCTGCTTAAACTGCAAACCAGAGTTACTCATTCTGTATGCGTCTGTCTCACACACACACACACACCCCCCCCCCTCCAGGAAAGGGTTTACAGTTTGCAGCTGACACACTTTTCTTTAACCGTAAAGTTAATCATTTAACAAATCCGACACTGTTTGACAGTTTCAGATTTCAAACTGTAATAATGTGTAGACATCGCATTTAAACAAAAGTTATATTTTAATATTTCACCAACTAAACTGTTGGTTTATCTTACCTGGTGCCTTATCCTATTAACTTCACTAAAACTCAAGTGGTGGCAAACATGAATGTGTATACACGCATGGCTGTCTAAGACCTTTATACCAAATCTGTTTCAAAGTAGTTGTAAATTAATTACCAGCCTACTGCACGAGTAATCATTGTAAATGATTTATGTTAGTTACACCCGTTGGTAATTGTAAGAGGTTTTGTCACCTTCATTTTAAGACTCAGTGTTAATTAGAGCATAAAGATTAGTCACATTAAAAGAAAAATATACTATTTTGGGTGGGTGGGGGGGGGGGGGGGGGGGAGGGGGGGGCTGGACCAGGTGACCCTGAATCCTCCCTTAGTTATGCTGCAATAGACATAGGCTGCCGGGGGATTCCCATGATGCATTGAGTTTTTCCTTTCCAGTCACCTTTCTCACTCACTATGTGTTAATAGACCTCTCTGCATTGAATCATATCTGTTATTAACCTCTGTCTCTCTTCCACAGCATGTCTTTTATCCTGTCTTCCTTCTCTCACCCCAACCGGTCGCAGCAGATGGCCCCGCCCCTCCCTGAGCCTGGTTCTGCCGGAGGTTTCTTCCTGTTAAAAGGGAGTTTTTCCTTCCCACTGTCGCCAAAGTGCTTGCTCATAGGGGGTCATATGATTGTTGGGTTTTTCTCTGTATCTATGAAGCGCCTTGAGGCGACTTTTGTTGTGATTTGGCGCTATATAAATAAATTGAATTTACTTTTAAATATCACCTTAAGAATTCCTTTACATAAAGAATCCGAAGACTTTCTTTTCTTCATTTGTGTGGATGAACATCTGTGTAAGTGTGATTTTTGCAGTCAGGCCGCGCTTTTTAAAAATACAAAATAACACGTTAGTTTTTTTGGGTTTTTTTTGTTTTCTTCTGTGGGGTGATTGAGCCCTTTGAAATTCGTTAATGTACATTTACCTTTCTATGTTTTACGCTGCACAAGTGTAACTGTCACTAACCCATCTGTCCATCATTTAAGCTTCTTTCATGAAACAGAGGAGGGGATGGAAAAGTACAAAAATACCGGCCTCACCTTAAGGTCTCTGTGGATGATGGGCGTTTTGCATTGGTGCAAGCGGGCCACGGCCTCACACGTGTCACAGAAGATGTGGAGGACCTCAGCCTCGCTGAAGCCCACGTTTAACCGCTGGTTCATTTGCTTCACTACCTGCCCCGCTGCAGAGAGAGAATAAAGGGGTTGGAGAGACCGCTTTAGGAGTGAAAACAGATCAAAACAATACATACAGCATGTTTGACCATAAAAACTATTATCAGCTATTCTCAGTAACTACTGTACTGTTTGCATGTAAACTTATTCTGATGAGGGCAAAACTGCTTTAAAGGGCAGTGCATGATCAATATAGAGGTCAGGGGTGCTAAAATAATAATCACACTTTAATCTCAATTACTCAACACAATTCTTTAACTTATGATGCTTGCATTAAAGGAAAAAAGAAAGAGGCAAATGCTGCTGGGCACAAAGGGTTGCCTGGTAGACATCGGTAATGGCCATCATGACTCCCGGGTGGGGTTTCTTTGGTCTATGAAGCCAATTTTACACAATGGTAACAAAATGATCACGCAAGCCCGCCTTACCATGAGAACAGATGGGGGCAAAAAGACGACTCAGAGCTTTATAAGTACTAAAAGCACAGTGCTGTAAGGCAAGCACTTCATTTATAACCAAATATTTAAAAAGTTAGAAAACAGAAATGAGAGTCTCAAAGCAAAAATAAATGGAAGAGACCGGTCTTATTTCAGTTATTTTGTTTTTATAATTATTCAGAAGCCGAAACTCAATTAATCGTCTAGCCTTAAAAAATTAAATAGTACCAATGCAAGACGATGCAGAATGCAAACAAAATGCTGCACATTTTTACTTTTTCCTTACACGTTTATTCCTCTGCCTCTTGGACTTTATCCTAAATTTGCTTAACTGTTGAAGTTTGTGCTGATTAATGGAGCCATTGTGCTTGTTGTTCTTGCTCTGCCAAACCGTGCCATATGACAAAAGTGGCGTCCTATCTGTGGGCCATTGTGTTGCATCAGCTGGTCGAGTAAGTCTCAATTTTTTACAGTTTTAATGATATATCAGTACAGAACAGATTAACAAATATAGAGGGAGATGTTGCAACAGTTTGAAAAGACAAGGCTTTCTGGGGGGGGGAAATTGCAGAGAAAAAAACCCACCACGTTGGTTGCTTTGGCAACCATTACTGGAGTCCTACCACACTAACCCAACAGTAAGCCAGCCAGCTTATCATCACCTAGTTAGCCGATTATTCATTGCTTGTCCTTTTGTGTTTATTGTTTTCCCCCCAACCTAAACAAAAACAGAACTCAAACCAAAATAAAAACCAGAAGTGCTTTTTAAAAAATAGAAACGACTACATGCATAAAGCAGAACTATGAGGCCTGTCAGAACATGTTTATATTTACAGGGACAGGTTGTACCTTTACAGTACTCCATGAGGATCAGGACCTCCCACACGCTGTCTGACGCAGGACTGATCGTAGAGTCCAGGTAACCAACGATGTTCTTATGGCCCGACAGCTCTTTCTGCAAAGAGGAAGAAAACGGGGGAAGAGCGTGACAGAAAGAAATATCAAACACGCGCTAAACAGCAACACAAAGAATCAACTGATGTGATAAAAGGATCGTCAGACTGGACACAAACTTTTCTTTTCCTTCTTTTTAGTGAGTGCTGTTTCATGTTTAGACATGTGTAGTGTTGCTCCTATATTGCTTCAGTTTTGGTTCACCCAGCTATTGAATGTAGAAGCATGAAAACCACAGTCTGAAATAATGTGCTGCAAACTGCTTTAAAGACTCCCGTCATGTTAATCAGAGATGAGTCACCGATGAGCCAAACACTGCATAAAATCTTACACACTGCAATTGTTTTTTGTTTTTTAATTCATCCATAAAATAAAAGAAATTCTCCTAGAATTAAAACATCTTCTGAATTATTAAAATGTTTTTCTTAAATATTTGTAACTGCTGGCTTTGCCAAGTATGATTGGAAGAAAAACACAGGTGTGAGTGCAATTCAGCTGCTTCAGAGGAGAGCTCTGTTTGTTTTGGTTTTTCACTTGATAACTCATGCTCTTACACCATGCTCATCTCTTAACTCTGTAAGGCTACGTCCACACGTAGCCGGGTATTTTTGAAAACGCAGATTTTTCTATGCGTTTGCACCTTTCGTCCACACGTAAACGGCGTTTTCGGTCACTGAAAACGGAGATTTACGGATATTTTCAAAAACTCAGTTTTTGCATTTACGTGTGGACGAGGAAAACAGAGAAAACGCAGCGTCAAAGGTGTGCGCCTTTTTTGACGTCACACTGTGCGCCACGTTATTGTTTCGGTGAAATGAATTTCTACATTACTGTTACTTGTACTCTCTGCAGTGTTTAAATGCTTACATATACACACAGTTACTGTCCCTCCACACATACGACTCTGTTCTGCTTCTATGCCCCATCTTTGTTTACTATTTCCCACTGAGGCTTCTAGACTTCTGATTGGCCAACATTTCTACACGGTTGGGAATATATCGCCACCTGTTACTTTGGCATGTTCCTAGCAGTGTTTTCCTTCATTTTTGCGTTCACGTGTGGACGGGATTATTTTTTAAAACGAAAATGGAAAATCTCCGCTTTCAAAAATATCCGTGTACGTGTGGATGTTGCCTTAATCTTAACTTTATTTATTCTTGTATTATTAATGCATCAGAGCACATCTGCTGGTTCCCAAAGGGCAGCACGAGGAGAGAAACTGCAGCATTTCTTGGAAACCGACACACCTACAGTCGTGTCCTGACAGACCTGAACTGTGTCAGAGTTTAAGGTCAGCTGTGTGAGTGTGACACATTGTTCCAGTTGATGAAAAAGAATTGACACACAAAGCTGACTAAACAGCTCATAGTGAGCTGTTCTTCATTAGGACAGAGGAGAATAACATGAAAGCAGGAAAAGAGTGAAGGGAGTTGCATATGTGAAATGGTTATGGGTGGACTCAAACCCAGGACCCTGCAGCCTTTTGGCATATGGGTTGCCCACTCAACCAGGTGAGCAACCCAGCTTGCCCGTGACTGAAGTATTTCTTTAAAAAAAAAATAAAAAAATAAAAATCATTCATTAAAACTCATTTTTTTAAACTCAAACTGAGACCAGAAAAAGGTTAAAAATGCAGCAATACAAACTTTTGGCACTATAATGACATTTTCAAAATAAAAGCCTCTAATGAGTTACAGGAAGTTAACAGGGTTCTCAGAATTGTGTCAAAGGTTCTAAATAAACACTGCACGTGAGCTGTAGAAAATATACCTGGACATAAAAGGTTCAGACTTTCAAAACAAAAGCCTCAAATGTATTTATCGTTTTCCTTTTTTACCGTTTATGAAATGCTGATGCTGCTCATTTATACAAACCTGAATAAGGTTTAATAAGTAATAGACCAGGTGCGGCAGGAGCAACAATACCAGTAATAGAAGACCAAGAGCAAGACGCATAACCTCATGATAAATCAATAAATGACCCACAGAGCTGCATATCATCCTCATCACACCAAAGTTGTAGGAGAGGATGACGGACATCGGTAGCAAATTTTGTAAAACTATTGAAAAAGCACTTACAACTGCACAACTTACTCCACTGTCATATGACGATAAAGTAAAAGTAATAATCTAAATTTCCACAATGTTACTGAAACACTTTAGCAATAAAGATAAGCACAAAGGCTTTAAGTGTAGTTGAAATGAAGGAACACTGATGCTGCTCTCACCATGATAGTGATCTCTCTCTTGTAGACATTCAGGTCCGGGACATTGTTGACGTACATCCTTTTGAGAGCACAGCGTACACCGCTGTGCGTACGAGCCAGAAACACCACAGAGAAGCCTCCTGTAAGAAGACGGAATGATAAGTTATCATCAGCTGCTTCGAAACTTTCTCTTGTATGGAAGTTATTGTACAGGATAACATGAGGCTTCAGACGGAGGCACTCTATCGAAAAACTTCTCACTTAAGATTCTGTATTGAGTCTCGTAATGGAAAATGGCTCACGTTCCAACATGATGATAAGTGCATTTAAACTTTTTTTTCTTTTTAAAAACCATCCATGTCACTCGTGGATGGTTATCAACGGTTCATCCAGACTGGTGGCCAGGCAACAAAGACACGTGCACATGCCAAACAAGAACTTCAAGGGTTGAAAAGTGAAGGTAACACAAACCAAAATCTCCCCAAACGGATGACATTTCTTGATTCCCTTGTGTAAAACAGCAATTACAGACTGTGTATAATGAAGTATTCTGAAAAGGACTCCAAAATGCTGATTAACCAGCAGCTAACAGGTTAAGGATAAGCTTATTTGGCCTGCATGGTCTGAACTCCAACTGGATCTAATTCGGACTAAATCACGCCATTTTCCTTTTAAACCACAGTGGATTTCCAACAGAAAGTGGAAAATTTAAGTTTAGGGATACAGTGTGCCAATAAAGACAGATGTGCCAGTGTGTGCTGTGATGGGGCAGCCTTTGGTCCGATTACCAGGGGTTTGCTGAGTCACTGAGTGGCGGGCATCAAAGTCCACTGACCACAGAGAGGAATGAAAGCTCTACAATGGTGCACTTGTTATGAAAGTCACCTCAGGACAAAAGACCACATACTCACTACAATCGGAAGTTGTGTTTTAATGAGGGGAGTGCTACATAAGTGTGTCTGATTAATGACGGTTACATCTGTGTGTCCTTGTGAGGACAGTAAACAGAAGACAGCAAGCCCCGGTCTGGCAAAGAGAACATAAACAGACTGAAGCAAAGTGTTTGCTTATATGTGGTCGCAACAGTGTGTTAATGTAGCACACATTATCAGATTGGAAGGAGTGGATGATGTCATCCCACAAGCTCAGAACAGAACAAAACAGGGAGCTAAAGACAAGAGGCCAAGCTGCTATGTTAGAGCTGTGTTCAGTGTAAATGTGACACTGCAAATAAAATAACAGCATTCAAAATGAGACTAGTTGGGTCTATTCTTTCTAGTCTTTCCTTCAATCGGGATTGGCAGTGTCAAAAATGCCCAGAATCTGGTAATTACTGGTGATTCTACGAAATCGTACAACAGGTTTCTTGAGACTAAAGTTTGACTGTTCGGATAAGCAGCCCACATTTTCACTAGAGTTTCTATAAATGCCACAAAGTGACATATTACTACAATTTTCCAGATAATAAAACACTGAATTAATTCCTCTGGGTTGGGAGAGCTTAAGTGTCTCATGGTCTTGTTCACAAGTCATGGTAAGTTGGTGTTTGAGACTGACCTTCAGATGTGCAAGCCTTTAACTCTTAAACCTGTGATTATACCCATCACATGCATAAAATATTCGTCTGCAGCATTTTCCTTCCAGCTTTGATTGCTTCTAGGACTAGGATGAGTGGACTGGTTACGAAATGTTTCTGATATGCGGTGGAATCAAACATTTTGAGTAAACTACTTAATAAGTCTTAAGCAATAAATAGACCTTTGAAGGGGTAGGGGAGCCTACCCTGAGCCTGGTCCTGCTGGTGGTTTCTTCCTGTTAAAAGGGAGTTTTTCCTTCCCACTGTTGCCAAAGTGCTTGCTCATATGGGGTCATATTATTGTTGGGTTATTCTCTGTATGTATTGTAGGGTCTACCTTACAATATAAAGCACTTTGAGGTGACTGTTGTTGTGATTTTGTGCTGTATAAATAAAATTAAGTAAATTAAATTCCTGACAGTCTAAAACAAACAGTTTTTCTCAGAAATCACCAGTTATGGTTGCAGTTTAATTTACCCCCCCGTTGACTTCCTGCGACAATTTCAGTCATACTGGATAACTATCATATTCATATAAAAATAAAATGGATGCATGACTGTCGCTGCTCAGCAGCCGTATCTGCAGCCAGGCTGTCATTTCAAGATTGAAGCAAAACAGAAATTCTGCCAAGTACAAGAGCCAAAGCCGTTTACGGTTGCTGGATGCTGTTCATTGATTTGCTTTGGTCTGCCCAGCGCGCTAAGGTCAGCTTGATGGTCACTCCAAACTGCCGTGCCTCGATTAAATTGATTTCCTGTAACAAGGCAGATGAGTACAAAGCCATGAGACAGAAAACTGAATCAAATGTTGGGTTAGGCTCCTATTTAAGAGATCATTTTTAAGACACTGGGAAGCAGTCATTCTTGCAGACTTTCTGCAAGCTGAAAAACCAAATCATTTGTGATGTGCAGCATGCTTTATGGCCCTGCTGTTTGAGGCAAAAGCTACCTGTGAGTCATCTTGAGGTAAGCTACTTTGCCACAAAGATTCAGGAAGCAGACGTAAAAATCTAACTTCAGGCAAGGCGATGTTGTGGAGGCTGAAATGGACAGGGTGACAGATTTTATAAGAAAAAATCCATTTGCTTAGGCAAAGGGCCAAGAGACTGAAAAGAGCAGTCTGTTTAAGGACACATGGGAGAAATACAGCAAAGCAGGTAAATGAATAGAGAGTAGAGATTTTAGGGCATTAAACCCTTGATGAGTCGATGTGCAGTCTAGTAAACTGAGGCAGTTGTCATGATGACTTTGAGGTGTGCAAATAAGTAATATCAGATGAGCAGCACTGATTGCAAGATTACTCCTGACTGAGATAATCGCAACAGGAGCAAATTATCGGCTCATCTCCGACCACAAGCATTTTGTTATTGGTTATGATACACAACAAAACCCTGAGTCATGAGTATCTGGGACATCTCACAGTACACAACCTGCAATGTCAGGAAAAAGACCAGAAACTGTTTTGTCTCAGATGTTTATTACTACTTGTCCGCTAATTACTTTATTGATTATTTAATTCTTTATTTAAAAAGAGTCCCACTGAGGCTACGTCCACACTGGCCCGGATAGATTTGAAAACGGCGTTTTCGTCCACACTAGCGTTTTCAGTCGTTTACCCAGAGTTGTGCGTCCACATTGAAACGGCCCAAAACGCTTACTGTCCTGCGCAAAAGCGAGTGAGAATTAAAGAAGTTGAATAAAAGCTATCTGGAGCATGTACAAACTGATATTAATGTTTATTATTTAGGGCTCTCAAAATTGAGAGCAATCAAAACAACTGCTGTATAATGCCCTCCGCTATCTTTGTTTAATTGGTCACATGACTGCATCACATGACTAAAATGCGTCATTGTTTTAGAAAGTCTGCGTTTTTGTTTTTCCTTGGGGAGAACGCTTCAACCGATTCCTCTCCCTCACACTGGTCATTATTTATGACCGAATCCGTCTTGTAATGAAGTTGTTGACAGTAGTACTTGTTATTGCACTGGTACTTGTTCTGTTCCACAGCAGAAGGAGCACAGTCTCCTGCCGCACTCTAAGAAGGTGCCTTTGGAGTACATCAACCCTGGGGAACAAAGATCCTCTCTGGAGAAGCAGCTGAATGCCATAACAACGAAAACATGAGACAACAGTAAGGCTGTAGACAGTTAACAGTAACAAAACCATCAATCATTTTAGCTTCTTCTTTTAACGTCACATTTCACTTTTAAACTAGATTTGATATGACTTCGCGTTTTTAGTCTTCATCTTTATTAATTCTTATAAATAACATCATAAAGCATCTGATAATGAGGACAAGACAACAATTTGTCAGAGAAGCCCGTCTCCTGTACACTGAAAGACCCTTTTGTCATGTCGGAGTCCCTCATTTGTCCAGGAAGTCTATGTATGCTGGGCACAAAGCCTCTCTAAAACAAACCATTCCACCCAGAGCCACTTAAGAGAATAATACATTCAATGGCGTACTACTTCCGTGGCTGGCATAGTCATGGGGGCAACAAAAGGCCCAGGGGCTGATTTAGTAGGAATCTGGTCCTGGAGCACATGGCCTCAGTCAATCACACACCAGGCCAGCGGGAAGACATGAAGATGTTTGTAGGATAGTGTGGGCTGAGGCTGTGACAGCCACTCTAGCTGCCAGGATCAGTGAGTTTGTCAGTTTGCAATGAACGAGGGAGGGGTCACAGCTTGTATCAATAACATCTATGAGCAGATTTCTGCACTGGATTAGGGATACTTACTAGCTTCAACAATTTTTAAAAGGACCAAAACTTTAAAAGTAAAAATACATACAGGAAAAAAAAGTGTTAAAGCTGCTATCTAACACCTGCACACACACAAGCATCTACAAAACAAATAAAAATAAAAGCAGCTTTTTGCGTCTTTTATTTTTAGTAGTGTGAATTAAAATCAGGGCTTAACACGTGTAATGCACAAAATTCCCCACGTGTTGAATGATCGGCAAGAAGTGCTGCAAGTAAACTGATCTTCACACCTAGAGAGTAAAGCTTATTTCAACAAGTTCCTCCAGCATACACAGACAGGCTTCCAAGATGTGAAGTTGCCAGCATGCAAAATGCTCCTTTAGCTAAAATTTGACGAGGAACCTGCTCAGGAAGCTAAAACGAAAACTGCATACATCAGTCCTGGGGAAGTTGACGCTGACGTGAAGCAATAACCGAAACACAACGGATTAAGAATATGTCTGCTGAAATGAGCTCCTCAATTTGTTATAAAAAAAAAAAAAAAAAAAAAAAAATTTTATAAATGCTACTGAGATGACAGATAAAAGAAAGAGGAGAAACTGAAGAACAAAAGGTAAATAAATTAATTAAATAAGACAATGTATGACCATTATAGTTAAGCTCAAAACAAGCATCTTCTTCAGTGTATAAATCCCTCCTGTGGGAAGCGATTAAGCAATGAGATTCCCCTTAATTTTGAAATACAAAGTCTCACAGTGATTCTGGTTTGCCATTCCTAAATCCACTCAGTGTACTAAAGTCCTGGGGATAGGGATGACTTACTCCAGGAGTCATCAGCCATTAGCCACACCTCACTATTA